TGGTTATCATGGTACTGACAGTATTAAAGGTCATGACCCCTAAGTCACCATAGAAACAGTGAACCCTTTCAACACAGCTCTTTGTGTGTTTTGTTGTTCTTTGAAAACCTGAAATACCTTTGGAGTTACATGTGCCATGAGAAGCCAATTAAATCTGTGGTTTCTCTTCCCAGGAAAATACACATAAAGTTTTGCTCAGCCCTGGGGGACATGGTGACCCTGGCCCTGGCTGCCCCTCCAGAGGAGCCTTATGCTGTGCTCCCCTGGCATCCTCATATCCCAGTCAGGCTTGTCAGTGTGCACAGAACTAAGTTGCATGACGCTCAAGTGACTTTCAATTCAACCCAGCACAGCTGGTAAAGAGGAAGCTCTTGTTGAAGCATAAATATTTTGAAGTTTTTGTAATCTAACTGCATGTAGTTTAGATGTACCCAGGGTGGTTGAGGGAAAAAGTTAAAATACCTAGAACTTTCTTCCCCACCCCCATTCTCACAGCTCCTTCCTTCCAAGAATCATCTCCAACCTTTCTGCCACCAGGCATCCTCACCCCATCTGGGCCCAAGCACCTGGCCTCTGGTCCTGGATCCCACTGGGAAAGTAGATAGCTATCCACACCAAGTTCTCACAGCTCTCCATGGTATAAAATTAAAAGGCAAAACTACAAGTCCCCAGAAACCCAAGAAGCAGGTAAGATTATTGAGACGACCGACTAGGGCCAGTAATCCACAGAAGTGGGTTCTGTGACATTTTCTATTTTTTCTGAGCTGTCCCTGGAGAAAGTCGAGAGCCCTAGGGTGGGTGAATTACTCATCTGTTGACTCTGTGACTGAGCAAAGGAAACTCGGCCTGGAAAAGCATCTTCTGAAACGGTTCTGCATTTCCAACCCTGCTCCCCCCGCATCTGGAATGGCCCCACAGATGTCCTGAGCATGAGGGCCACAGAGGGCTGTATACAAAGAACCACTCGGGCCTCCTCAGCCTGAGACTGTGGGGACAGAGAGGGAGGCGGAATGGCTTCTCAACCCTGCAGGCCAGCACTTCAGCCCAAACATAGACAGCTCTTCCTCTCACACCCTATGTCTTATCTCAGTCACTGTTAGATTTCCAGGCATCAAAGCATATCTGTGTCTCATCATCCACTTCCCATGTGTGGGATCAAAAGCCTCTCCCACTCTGACACAGGGGCTGCAGTCCAGGCTGCAGGGGCAGGGCGGTGTGCTCCCAGCCTGGGCAGCTCCTGCATCCAAGCCCTCAGAGCAGTGGGTCAGAGCAGTCCTCTTGGAGTGGAATATGCAGCCCTCAAAACCTAGAAAGGCCTGCGCCCTGTGTTTCCTTCTTTCAAACAGAAGGTACAGGATGCAGCAATTTGTCTGCATGGGGGGATGTCGTACAAATCTGACCACTAGGCCCCTGATATCTCCCTGGAGATCAGGAACCCCTCAGGCTATGATGCCACAACCTGCCAGCAGTCATGACTGGAACTGTGTTGGGGCAAACCTGACTGGTCTGCAGCCACCAGCAGATCCACTGTCTCTGCAGAGCCAGGCTGCTGGCCTCACCACCATTGGGCCTGTAATAGAGGCCTCCTTCCCAGAGTGCAGTGTGGTTATGACTTCCTGCTGTGGTTTGGATGTGATTTGAATATCCTCCAGGGATTTGTGTGTCAGGAACCTGGTCCCCAGTGTGGTGGTGATGGGGGATGGTGATGACACCATCAGGAGGTGGGACCCCGTAGGTCACTGAGAGAGCTGCCCTTGGAAAGGATTAAGGAGTGTCTCATAGGACCACTGAGCTCTTGCAAGAGGATCCTCACCCCTGGATTGCTCTGGCCTTCTGTTAGGTGTACCTCTCTCCCTCCTGCATACATATGACTGTTGTGCTTTCTTCCCATCTGCCACGAGACCCTCATCAGAGGCCAGACCAAAGGGACTTTCAACCTCCAAAACTGCAGCCAAATAAACTTTTTTTCTTCACCAAGTAGTCTGTATCAGGAATTTTGTTATAGTAACAAAACGGACTGACATACTTACTATCTTGGCCATGGAGGGGCAGTATCCATGATTTCACCCTGGGTTTCCTCACTCCACTGTCTGTTCCCACACAGGCCTGGACCCAATAGACCATTGCTGCAACCACTAAGTACATGAATTACAGTTACACACTCAGGATCCAAGGAAGTGACTGCATTGTGTCTGCTGGCCCAGGGGTCCCGCTGAGACCAGTCTTTCAGCCAGATTTTCCTTTCATCACCTAACCCCATATCTCCCCTCTCCAACAGTGAGGCCACGATGACCACTCCATCTCCAACATCTGTCCCCTCAGATTACGAGTCCCACTGTCCTTGCCTTAGTATTTCCCTTTCCCCAGTGTCCTGTCACTCAAGTGAACAGCAATCAATAATTCTATCCTTTCCACTGCATGACCCTCAAAATCCAATCCCAGAGGCTCCTGGGTCCTGGCTCAACATGGAACCTCTTTCCTCTCTGAGCAGATCTAGCAGGTCCTAATCAGGTCACACTGGACTTTCTCCCTAGCCACTGGGCAGCCTCCAGTGAGGCACCCTGCATGCAGCATCGTCTGGCACAGAGGAAATGCTGGCTGAAGAGGGAGGAATGGGTTCCTCTACAGGAACTGAGGGCCAGGGGTCCATGGAGCCACCTCCCTTGGCTTCCACAGATGCCCAGCCTGTGCTTCAGGGTCCTGACCTTCACACAGACCAGCCTTGGCACTCACTCAAATGCGTCTGAGTGAGGTGACTGCCACTGCCATTACAAGAGAAGGTAGGACTTTCTTTTAGCTACCAAGGAGGCCCTCTGGTCTCACATGAGCCCCTCACTGCTGGTTAAGTTCCTTAGTCTCTCGTTGTCCCTCTGCAGGGCATTAATGTACCTTGGCCACAACCAGTCTACCCTACTGTCCTGTCAAACCCACTGGAAGGTGTTCCCATTCACCTGGCCATTTCCCCAGCCCACCCCAGTGGAAGCTTCAACAATCAGACTTGTGCCAAAGATTATCTGCGCCCCCAACCAGTACAGCGTCCTCTTCATCTGCCAATGAACCTGGCTGCCGATTTCTCAGGCCCCTGCTGCACTCCTGAGCTAATCCACGTCCTCTGAGAAGCAGGTGCCGTGATAGGGTTACACATGACCTGGGCAGTGCCTGTGAAGGACATGGGAGAGGTGGCCATAGATACTGGGATTCACACTGCAGGCGGGACCCCTGTGAGGGAGAGAGGAAGGCGGGAGGAGCCTCAGCCTGCAGCATTCCTAGTAATACCAAAGTAATCCCTAAAATGATTTGGGTCTTGTGGACGTGGGCCTGTGTTCACTCCCCAGAGAGCAGCCTGGACAGAGAGCTCAGGGCAGGTGCAGCACAGCAGTACTGGGGCAGAGGCCAAGAACAGCAGGCCTGAGCCTTTTGTTCAGAGCCGTGATGTGGCTGCCACACTCAGACACATGCAGACAGACTCAAGCTCGCGTGCACACCCTCGTGCACACTCACACCGATTCACGATACATGGCACACACATATGCACATCCACATTCACTCAGAGGCACTCATGTGACACACACCATCTGCACACTCACACCCCATCTCCTTTAATGCCCTTGGGTTCCAGGCGCCCACCATCCAATCGGAGGCCACTGGGGCAGAGGACAGCAGTGGCTGACGCTGTCCAGGATGGGGTGGGCACTGATGCCAGGCGCTGTAAAGAGGTCCTAGGAACAGTAAGTGGGTGGGAGGCCCTGGGGTCACGTGTGGGGCTGGGGTACTCTAGCAGTCCTTTTGGAATGCAGGCAAGGGCAGCTTCCAACCCGTTGCCACGGTGGCATTTCCTCCTTACCACCACTGCTGGGCACACTGAAGACACAGATCTCCCCGACAGACCTTGCCTGGCCACCTTCTCATCCCACCACGAGACACCAAAGGAAAGAGCCACGTGGTCAGGCCTAAGTGAGCAGAAGGAGGAAGACCCTGAAGACTCCAGGGTGTCCACAGAGAGGATTCTTCCTAGGATGGGTTGTCCAAGGGTCTGTCCTTCTGAGGGGAGGGGCTATTCACAGATTTGCTGAACTGCTTATGGGAAGCTGGGTCCTCACCAGCAGGCTGCTGGGATCTCCTCCAGGATTGCTCTGAACTTGGCCATCCTGGCCTCTCCCAGAGACCTGCCTATACCCCTCAGGAGCAGCCCTGGTCCTCCTGGGGAGTGGGGATCCCACCACAGCACTCCCCAGGGGCTGTTCTGACCTTCTTGGCTCAAGAAGGGATATGGGGTGGCCCCACCCACACCCACCTGCCCCATTCTTACAGGAATGGGTGATTCATGGACTTCATCAGGCCCTGCCCCCCTAGGCACAGTGGTTCCAGTGGTCTGGCCTTGCTCCCAAAGGGAGCTGCCCTTCAACCCCCACATCCCCTCAAAGCCCTGGGAGGTCACAGTGTCCAGAAGAGTGGCCTGGGGACCCAGGGACACTGGTTCTGTCCCAGCGCATGAACCAGAGAAGGAGTGGCCCGAGCGGCGAGGCGGGGGGACACGACACTTGGGGGAGGAAGCTGGGGGGACACTTGGTGGGGGGACACTAGGAGAGAGGGGGACCCCATGCACCCCTGGGGCAGCTGCTAACTGGGCGGTCCTGGGGACGCCCCTTGTGCAGGGCGCGACCTCCCAGCCCCAGCCTCCAAGTGGGGACCGGTGAGGGAGGCCCTTGGCGAGGTCCGGGGACACCATGGGCCTGGCTTGGTGGGCGGAGGACCTCGGCCAGTGCCCCGCCCCCTCCTCCTGTCCCCTCAGGATCCTCCGTCCCCCCACCCCCGGCGCCCCTCGCCCGTGTCCCACCCGTCCACCCAGCGTTGCCATCCGCGGGGCCACAGCGCCTCCCGGTGGCCTCACACCCGCGGGGCGGGGGACAAAGGGGCGGCGCCTCCCCACTCGGCCCGTCCCCCGCCCCTCCCGCGTCCCCTCCGCGGTCGGTCCGCGTCCCCTCCCTCCTGCCCACTCGGCGCCCGTGTCTCGGGCCGTCAGGACGCGGAGTCCCCTCGGACAGACGCGCAGCCAGGTAAGCGCGGGCCGCGCCGTCGGGGGTCCAGTCCCCTGGGGGCTCCCCGTGGCCCCGTCCCGCCCTGGGACCCTGGGGGGCTGAGCTGGGCTGGGTCCTGGGTCAGCCTGATGACTGCTAGGACCTCCCCAGGCCACCGAGTGCCCCACCTTGGCCAGACCCAAGGCCAGTTCCCGTGGGTTTGGTGAGCCTCTGGCCTGGACAACAGCTTTGGAGGGTTGAGGAGCCTAAATCGCCCCGGTGGAAGAGGCCACTCTGACTTGGAGCTGGGCACAGGGTGTCCCCTTGGGCAGGCGGAAGGGCAGGGTGTTTCTGATTATGGAAGAAGCAGTGAGTTTGAACAGCGACTGGGACACCTGGACGGCACACTGCAGACAGAGGAGGGGTCTCTGATGTCCTGAGGGAGGGTAGACCAGGTAACAGCCCTTGCACTCCATTAGGGACAGGCCAGGCTGCCCCCACTACAGCATTCCCCTGCCCCTGGAGTGTGCTGGGGGAGATCAAGCAGGGGCTGATTGAGGGGCCACAGAGAAGTGGGAACCTCAGTTAAGAGTTTCTGTCACCCTCTGATTCACTCCCATCCTGGACTCCCCCAGGCAGTCCAGAAAGGGAGGGGGCAGGGCCCAGCACCCACAGAGCACTGGAGAGCAACTTCAGGGATACCTCTGCTTCCTATAGTAACAACACAGAACCGGAGCCCAAGGTGTGCAGGGCTGGCAGGGTCCTCACATGGGGACATGGAGCCTGTGCCCAGAGAGAAACCAAAAAAGGATCCTGAGACCCTCAGATCTCCCTGCTGTCTTCCTTCCAATCAAATACTTCTGGCTTGGAAGCTAGCTCACCCTTAATTAGAGGGAAATAAAAGGCATTTGGGGTTTTATGCTCTGCCTCCTTCCTCCTTTCACAAAGGTTGGGAGGCAAAACAGACCCTTGGGGCCCTGGAGGAAAGGAGTCTGTCTTCCCAAAAGGAGATCAGGAAGGTGGGGCTGGGAATGGGCTTGCATCCAGGATCCCTGGGCAGAGGCCAGACTGGAGGGGCTGAATGTGGGGGCAGTATGTCCCCTCTGCAGGATGCACGGGTCTTGTGGACAGTTAGCTGCCCCCATCTTTGCTGCTGAAAGTGCTGTGGTGGAGCCAGTGCAGGCCTTGGGAGACGAGGAGAGGCCGTGTCCAGGAGAAAGCCAGGATCGTGCCACTTGGCCAGCTCATCTCATGGAGTGCAGAATTCTTGCACTGAGCAAGATGTGTCCACACTGCTGGGGACAGTGGATCACCACTGAACATGGGCAACTCTGTGGTGGAGGGGGTCATGGGCAGTGGGGAGCCTTCTGACTTGGCTCCCGGAATCCAGGACAGAGAAAGAACGGCCAGAGAAAAGGCTAGAGATCTTCCCAGGGCCTCAGCACAGGGTGCCGGCCACACCTGCCCTCCTCCTGTGCCTCGTTTTCTCATCTTAGAACAGTCACCCACAATTCTTGCCAGGCAGGGCTGCTGGGGGGTCTCCTGACGCACAGTGTAGACAGACTGTGTTCACAGCCTGAAAGGCTGGGGCAAGCAAAGCTGTTATGATTATTTCAAGAAAAACACAGATGGCTAGGGTCTTCCCTTTCACACGGCCCCACACTTGAGTGATGTGAGCTGACCCTCGGGGCAGGGGGTACCTTTTGCACATTCATGCAATGTCAGGGGGTTCTGTTGTTAGGCACACCCACAAACAGGCAAAGGTTGTGGGGTGCTGTTTGTAAGCAGGCCCAGGAGCTCAGCCTCTGCCCTCAGGGATAGGGTCATGTTAGGAACAGCACTTTCCATGGAGACCCACTGGGAGACCCAGGCCAGGGCAGCCTTTTGGTGCCTGAGCAGGGGCAGGGCCTCTGGCTCCCAGGGGCCCCATAGAAGCCTATGTCGGATGCCCACCAGAGACAGACCCTGGTGTTCGCCCATCCTGTGGGTAAGGAAGACTTGTGGGTCTGTGCTGCGTGTTGTTGGTTTTTACTGCAGTTGGACATTCTTTGACCACTGGCCGTTTGTAGTTTTATTGCGATTTGCCTGGGTGTGACTTCCCCATGTTCCTATTGGGTGTTCATTCTTTACTGATTTGAGAGCTTCACACAAATGCAGTTTTTTATTGTGGTAAAACATACATAACATCTTTCCCTGTACCGTTCAGTGGTGTCAAGTACGTTCATTTGTTATGTGACCATCACCGCCATCAAGCTCCAGAACTTGGGGGTGGGGGGTTAATACTGGGGTTTGAACTCAGGGCCTCCCCTTTGCCACTTGAGCCACTCCTCTGGCCCTCAGAAGTTCTTATTTCACAAAATTGAAACCATTAAACAAGGATTCTCCAGCTCCTTCCTGAACCCTGACAGCCACCATTCTACTTTCTGTCTCCATGAACCTTGATTACTCTAGGTGACTCATGGAAGTAGAATCAGTCAACGTTTGTCATTTTGTACCTGGCTTGTTTCACTCCTCATGATGTTCTCAGGTTGTAGCATATCACAATCCTCCCTTTCTAAACCAAATAATGTTCCACCATGGTGAAATCCCATTTTGTTTTTCCATCTGTTGCTGGACACGTGGGATGCTCCCATGTTTTAGCATAGTGAATAACAGTGCTGCAAACACAGGTGTACAAATGTCCCTTTGAGACTCTGCTTTCCAGCCAGGCATGGTGGTGCACAGCTATAATCCCAGCCCTCCCAGCAGGAGGATGTTGAATTCAAGGCCAGCCTGTGCTATATGGCAAGACCCTGTCTTGGGGGTGGGGGGAGAGAGAGAACCTACTTTCAGTTCTTTTGAATGTATACCCAGAGGTGCAATGGCTGGATCATTTGGAAGTTCCACTTAATAATTTTCTGAGGAGCCCCCACCTGTTTTGCACGGTGGCTGCACCATTTTACATTCCCACCAACCGTGCGCAAGGTTCCGGTTCCATTTCCCCACCAACATCTATTATTTTCCGGGGGCGGAGTGGGTTCCAAAAGGAACTTCTTATTTTTGTGCTGGGGATCAAATCCAGGCATGTGCTGCAGAAGTGCCCCACCACTGAGCTACGCCCCAGCCCTGCTTTCTGTTTTTAATAGAAGCCATTAGGTCTGTCCCCACTTTCATTTTTCATTTTAGTAAACTCTTTTTTTTAGTCCATCTAGCTAAAGGTTTGTCAATTTTGTTAATCTTGTCAAAGAACCAGCTTTCTGTTTTGTTTATCTCTGCTTCGATCTTTATTGTTCTCTGCCAGCTGTGGGTTTAGGTTGTGAAGTTGGATTGTCGGTTTGCCAGGTCTTGGTTTTAACATGAGCACTCCCAGCACTGCTTTTACTGTGTGAGTTTTGGTGATCTGTGCTTCATTGTTTTCACGTTCGTTCATCTCTAAGCATTTTCTGACTTCCCTTGGGATTTTCCTTTGATCCATTGGTTGTTTGATCCCCATTTCCCATCTGTTACTGACTTTTGACTTTACTCACTGAGGTCTGAGCAGATACGTTTTGGGATACCTGTCTTGTGAAATGCATGAACTCATACGTTTGAAAGTCTCTTCCTCTGACTGAGTGACTTCCAGGGCATTTAAAGGCTAGAACCTTTCTGCCCTTCATTTTTCTCTGCTCCTTCTTCTGGAAGTCACACATTCATAAGCGACCACGTGTACCGGGGAGACAAAAACAAAAGCCCCAAGCCTGGCAGCAGGGGACTCCAATTTCCAGTTACCCCATTAATGGATTCAAATGTCAACAAAATATCACAGGAAAGAAATAAAGGCTGGGGTACAGCTCAGTGGTAGAACATTCACCTAACAAAGGAAAGAAACCAACAGAAACTGTCTGTGAAACAGACCTGGGTGGATTGACTAGACAAAGACTTTAAGGCAGCCATGGTAAAGACTCATAAAGAACTGAAGGGATATGAGAAGAAACAATGTGTGAGGGAACTGGAAATACCAAGGGAGAGCCAGGGAGCCTGAAAAGAGGCAAAAGCAAAGTCTAGAAGTGGAAGTGTAGTTGAAATGAAAAACTCACTAGGGGAGGCAAAGGCAGATTTGAGCAGGCAGAAGGAGTTTGATGAACAAAAAGAAAAAAGGGCAGAGGAAGTGAACCGAGCCCAAGACATCCAGGGAACATCGAAGGACCGACAAACACACTGTAGGAAGAGAGAATGAAAGGGGCCAAGAGAAGTTGAAAAAGCAGTGAAAGAAAACATCACAAGTCTGATGACTGACACGAATGTAAACACCAAGCTCAGTGGACTCCGTGAGGGATGAATTCAGAGAGATCCACTAAGACACATTATAATCAAACTCAGAAGACAATCTGGGCCTGCCTATGGTGACACATAACTGTAATCCTGGCTACTAGGGAGCTGGAGGCAGTTTAGGGCCTGCCCACGCAAAAGTTAGTAAGACCTTATCTCAAAAACAGCAAGACATGGTGTTGCATGCCTGTAATCCCAGCTTCTCAGGAGGCAGAGGTAGGAGGATCGTGGTTCAATGGTGGCCTAAGCAAAAGCAAGAAACCCTACCTGAAAAACAAAGTAAAAGCCTGGGCTGTGGCTCAAGTGGTAGAGCATTGCGTTCAATCCCAGTACCACCAAGAAAAAAAAAAAGAATCTTGAAAGCAGCTAGAGAGAAGGACTCACCACATACAGAGGAGCCTGAGTAGGATTTCCAACCAAACTTGTGAGGCCAGAGGGCAGGCGGGGCACAGGTGCAAAGTACTGACACTGAAGATGTCAGCCAAGCAGGCGTATCCAGCAAAACTGTCCCACGGGGGAAACCAAAGCCGAGGGGACTCACCACCCTCCACCTGCCCCACAGGAAATGCTGAAAGTCCTGAGGCTGAAATGAGGGATGAGGGACCAGAGCCCGAAGCCCTAAAAAGATAAGGATCTCAGTGGAGGCAAGCGCCTGGCGAGTGTGCAAGCTAGTGGTATCCGAACAATGAGTGAGACTCAGGGTTTGTTTGGTTGACCTAGAAGCTAGTATTACGATAGCTCTGGTTTGTAATTTCACGCTGTGTTTGTACATAAGTTAAGATACCAACGCATTAAAAAATATTAGCCATTTCAGAATAGCATGTGACCTTCCACATCCACAAATTCAATCAACTACAGGGTGAAAATACTTGGGAAAAAATGCGTCTGTACTGAACATGTTGCACAGACTTTTCTCTTTGTCACTGCTCTCTATGCAACACAGTTTAGCAACTATTTACAAAGAATGTGCATTATGCTAGGTATTTAAAGAAATCTAGCGATGCTGGCAGAGTGGCTTAAGTTGGTAGAGTGCCTGTCTAGCAAGTGTGAGGCTCTGAGTTCAAATCCCAGTAGTTCCAAAAAAAAGCCTCTGGGAAAGAAATCCAGCAATGATTCAATATGTGGGAGCTGGGCGCGGTAGCACCTGCATGTAATCCCAGCTACTTGGGAGGCAGAGGCAGGAAGATCTCAAATCCAGGGCCAGCCAGACAATGTTAGTGAGACTCTATCTCAAAAACAAAATGCAGCCGGGCGTGGTGGTGAGCGCCTGTAGTCCTAGCTACTCGGGAGGCTGAGGCAGGAGGATCACTTGAGTCCAGGAGTTCTGGGCTGCAGTGCGCTATGCCGATCGGGTGTCCGCACTAAGTTCGGCATCAATGTGGTGACCTCCCGGGAGCGGGGGACCACCAGGTTGCCTAAGGAAGGGTGAACCGGCCCAGGTCGGAAACGGAGCAGGTCAAAAACAAAATGCAAGCAAAAGGACTGGGGACATAGCTGAAGACGCAGAACATTCACCTAGTATGGATGGAGCCCTGGGTTCAATCTCCAGTTATACGTGTATAATTAGTCTACAGGTCCCTGCACCATTTCCTGCAAGGGACTTGAACACCAGATTTGAGTTCCTACAGATGTCCTGGAACGAACCCCTCAGATGCTGAGGGATGACTATATAAAATGCAATTTTGTGACATCAGTAGCCCAAAAGGGTGAGGACAGGGTCGTTAAAGGAGCAGAGTTTTCAACGCAGAGAAACTAAAGCAGATACCTTAAAAGCAACTGAGGCCAATAGGAAAAGGGGACCAGGAACTAGAGAAAAGGTGAGATCAAAAAGAATTAACCTAGAAGGTAACACCCACGCACAGGAAATCAATGTGAGTCAATGCCCTGTATAGCTATCCTTATCTCAACCAGCAAAAACCCTTGTTCCTTCCATTATTGCTTATACTCTCTCTACAACAAAATTAGAAATAAGGGCAAAATAGTTTCTGCTGGGTATTGAGGGGGTGGGGAGGAGAGAGAGGGGGCGGAGTGGGTGGTAAGGGAGGGGGTGGGGGCAGGGGGGAGAAATGACCCAAGCATTGTATGCACATATGAATAAAAATAAATAATTAATTAATTAATTTAAAAAGGAGCAGAATTTTTGTACATTTTTAAAGTTAAGCTGTTACAATTTTAGGATGTCAAAAATAATCCCCTTGGTAACCACAAAGAGAATAATGTAACTATAAAGCAAATGAGAAGAGGATTTAATTATTTCACCAAAAATTAGCTAAACACAAAAAGAAGACAGTTATGCAGAAAGTTAGGGACAAAAAATTAGAAGACATAGAGAAAACAAATGTAAAATGAAAGACTGTCAATAATCACTTCAAATGTAAATGGGTTAAACTCCCCACTCAAAGGACAGAGACTGGCAGAGTGGACTGAAAACCCTAACCCCACACCATGCTCTCTACAAGAGACTCTCTTTGGATCCAAAGCACAAATAGGTTGAGAGAGAAGGATGGGAAAGGATATAGAGGACAGGGGTGGCTATGGTAATATCAGATGATATGAATCAGGAGAATCATGCATTAAGAAAAGGCTCAGACAGCAAGAAGATACGATAACTGTAAAAATGTATGCACCTAGAAACGTTTACACCTTAGGAAAAGAACTCTTGGCCCCGCCTTGGGAGGACAGCTGTCTGGCTCTGGATCACATCCACTCTGCTCGGGCTGCGTTGGCTGTAGCATGGCCATATGAGGGAGCCCAATGTCCAGAGTACAAACTTGAACCCACACCACCTGGACTCAGACCTCAGCTATTAACCATCATCTTGAGCCAGCTACCTCCACAGGCCTGGGTTTCCTCGTCTATGGCAGGGGGTGAGATATGTGAGAAGGGGTGAGCCTATACCGCTGTCCAAGGCTAATGTAGCGGGTAGGGTACTGATGGGCACAAAGTAGTCACAGGAGGTAGTCACTGCTGTGCCATCCCTTCTGTTTTCAGAAGACTTCTTGGTTCCTGCCTTGTGCTCACTTTTGGGTGCCCATGAGGCACAGGGTAAGCCCGTGTCCCACCTGCTCACACCAGTCCCAAGGCCACCGCCTCACTTCCTCAGGGCTTTGTGTCACTGTGCCCATCATGGTGAGTCTGTGGCCTGTTCCTGCTCAAAGCCAGCTGCCCAATCACTGTGACTTCACTTTCCCCGTGTCTCAGCTGCTCCTGTTTATCCTTCAGGTGAAACTTTTGCCAACTTTTACCAACAAAAATTATTCTTAGAGTCTTTAATTAAATTGTAGATTTGGCTAGAAATAACTGATATTCCTAATGTCCGTTTAAGAAATTTGGGTGATTTCTCATCCATAACCAAGGTGTGTCTCTCCACTGGCTTCCTCAGAAAAAAAATTTCAATTTTTTTTTCATGAGTCCTGCATGATCTCATTGGGTTATTCCTTGAATTTATATTGTTTTTGTTGCCAATACAAATAGCATTTTTCCATGTTTCCTTTTTATCCTTTTACTTTTCTGCCATTTTGTTTTGCTTTTTGAGCTGGGGCCTCACTCACCATCCTCCTGCCTCTGCCCCCTAAGTGCTGGGACCACAGTCGTGGCCCCCACGCCTGGCTTCCTTCATGTTTCTAATTGTTTGTCACTGACAGAAGAAAATCAGGAGCTTTTGCAATCTCACAGTTTTTTGGGTCAGGAATTTAGGACTTGGCCCAGTGGTTCTGGCCTGCAGTCTTGCATGAGATGCCATCAGAATTCTGGTCAGAACCAAGGCCACTTGTCAGCTGACTAGGGCTGAAGGACCTGGTCCCAAGTCCTGTTTGCTAGAGGTCTTGTGTCCCCCCACACACACCTGGGTTTCCCCAAAGGCTACTGAGTGTCCATGTGACGTGGCAGCTGGCTTCCCCCTTAGTGAGCCACGCCAGAGACAATCAGGCAAAAGCACAGTGTCTTTCGTGACATTGCCTTGGAAGCTATCCACCATCACTCCACACTGTGCATCGGCGATGTGGTGTGTGAGAGAACCACACAGATGTGACTATCAGGAGGGGAGGCGACTGGGGCTGCTTGCAGGAACCATGGTATCTGAAGTAACGCAGTGCGGGTCTCCCTTAGACGCCCCTGGGCCTTGTTGTGACTGCTGCTTCCTCCTGTGCAGACACATATAGGATTTTCACTACCAGTCAGCTGTCCCGTTGGTGCCCCTCGCACAGCTCTCCTAACTGATTCTCCTTGCCTGGCAATGAGGGTCTCTCGTGTTCAGCTCAAGGTGGCTCCATCACCTGTCCCCAGGCCACCCTGTCTTCTTCCTTTGGGGTCTACTGGACCTGTTCTCCTTTCTGGGATCTGTTCCCTGACCCTCGCTCTTACCGTTTCCATCGCTGTCTCTTCCAAGCACCAGAATTGCTCACTTATTGTCTAAGTTGCGGATTCTGCTATTTTTAGTGTCAAACCTGTTGTTCTCTGAGTCCTCTTACCTTTCCAACTGAAATAATTTAAAACCTGAAATCTGGAGGTGCCTTCTCTGACCTCCATGGTTTCTTGGAAGTTCAAGTTGGGACGAATTCTCTCCGGGGCCACCGCCATCCCCACGCTGCGTGTTACTTGTCAGTGTTTCTGCAGTCTCTTCTTGAGGCCTGTCACACCCCAGGGGGAGGGGCACACTAGCGATGACTGTGTCTGTCTATTGCTGGCCTCCCTGTCGTCACCAGTGTCCATGTGAAGGAGGGATCTGGCCAGGTCACATGCTGGGGCTGGGAGCCACCCCAGATGAGCCCACTGGATGTCCATAGTCCATGGGGAGCAGGGGAAGTGCAAGTTACACAGGCAGTGTGGGCTGTCTGCAGAGGCCCCTCCTCCTGTTGCAGGAAGGACCTCAGGGCACACAACGGCTGCCAAGATGTTCCGGTGCCCCTTCTCCATGGTCCTGCTGGGCGGGCTCCTGGGGACCCTGTACACCCAGCAGCAGCAGCTCGTCTCACCTGATGCCTCCATCGTGGACAGGAACAACAACTGCCCAGGTATCTGGGGGACCCTTGGGCTCTGGGAAGCCCAGGGTGGTGATGGCCTCCTGCTAGGCAGGCCCTGACAGGTCCCCTGTCCCCCCAGAGAAGGCCGACTGCCCTGTCAACGTGTACTTTGTACTGGACACCTCGGAGAGCGTGACCATGCAGTCCCCCACGGACAGCCTGCTGTACCACATGCAGCAGTTTGTACCGCAGTTCATCAGCCAGCTGCAGAATGAGTTCTACTTGGACCAGGTGGCCCTGAGCTGGCGCTACGGCGGCCTGCACTTCTCGGACCAGGTGGAGGTGTTCAGCCCTCCGGGCAGTGACCGGGCCTCCTTCACCAAGAGCCTGCAGAACATCCGCTCCTTCCGCCGTGGCACCTTCACCGACTGCGCACTGGCCAACATGACGCAGGAGATCCGGCAGCATGTGGGCCGTGGAGTGGTCAACTTCTCTGTGGTCATCACCGACGGCCACGTCACCGGCAGCCCGTGCGGGGGCATCAAGCTGCAGGCCGAGCGGGCCCGCGAGGAGGGCATCCGGCTCTTTGCTGTGGCCCCCAACCGGAACCTGAACGAGCAGGGCCTGCGTGAGATCGCCAACACCCCACATGAGCTCTACCGAAGCAACTATGCCACCATGAAGTCAGGCTCCACCGAGATCGACCAGGACACCATCAACCGTATCATCAAGGTCATGGTGAGTGCTGCTGGGCGGGGCAGAGCCCTGCGGCCAATGTCCATCCAACCGCGTGGCCATCTTCAGGCCTCAGTTTACCCCTCTGTGAGTAAGGAGGTTGAGGGGGCCAGGGCCGGGTCCCCGTGCATCTGTGATCCTCCTCCAGACTCAGGGTGTAACACATGGATCCCAAGCGTCTCGGCTAACTGCGTCTCTCTCTCGTCTTTTCTGCAGAAACACGAAGCCTATGGGGAGGTGAGTGACACTTTCACTCTGGCCATCCCTGACCTTGCTGCCCGCTGGCCTCTGAGACTGATGACCCAGCAGAGGAGCACAACCACAGCTCCTGGCTCCAAGGGTTGGAGCAGAGCAGAAAACTGAAGGAGTGTGATTCACCTGCTCTACCTAGGGCCTGACACCCTAGGTGTCAGACAGAGGGCTTCCGGCTTTTGGTCCCAGGATTTAGTGTTAGGGTCACTCTTTAAGCATGCATGGAGGAGAGGTTGAGGGTCGCGTGCCCAGGCTGGTGGCCGATGTCCAACTCACACCAGCTTCACACAGCCATAACATTCCATGTCCCTATGGGAAAGGGGAGCAGACGCCCGAGGTGCCCGCCCAGTGAGGCCTCTACAGGAACATGCCCTGTTCCGGAATGGCTGTTCGCAAGCACACAGCAGAGTGACCCCTGTGTACAGATGGCGGCTAGCCACGCCATTGCTTTTTGACCCTTCGCTACCATCATTGTCTAACTCAGTCTCACTCCTCCAAAATTTGACTGGAAGACCTTGACCACTGTTTGTCCAGCCCCGTGCGTCTGCTCCTTCATCCTGGCCCGCGAGTCTAGACTGGTGTTTGGGAGGCTCCCTCTGAGAGTTCCAGGCTATGGGTGCCCTGAGCCTTTATCCCACTGTGGCCTTGTCCAGTGAGCTGACTCCCCCACCTCTGCCTTCTCCTTTCAGTGCTACAAGGTGAGCTGCCTGGAGATCACCGGCCCCTCCGGCCCCAAGGGCTATCGTGGACAGAAGGTAAGATGGCCCGTGGGGCCTGCACTGAGGGGAAGCCCCTGACCTGTCTTGAGGCCAGTTGTGACAAGAATGGTCTCAACACTTCCTTCCCTGGAGAAGCTAAAATTCAGATTTTACCCATCTCCTTTCAGTGGCATTTTGAGAAAAGTAAGAACTTGCTTTAGGTTATTAAGATATGCCACTAAAATACTTTTGTGAAGTGTTTATGCTCAAATATGTAAATAAAACGCGAGATGCATTACTGTTAATTATGTAGGTGACAACTAACACAACGTTGATGAGTTGTCAGGGGCAGGGAATTGGCATTTTACTAACAACAGGGCTGTATAAAACAAAACCCTCCTGAACTTCACTATCAGAGTGTCCAAAACTCCAAGTCACATCTGTCCAAACCACAGAGAGGCAGAGATGGAGAAACGTCTGACAAGATGAGAGCAGACATTTAAATAACCTAGAGGCAGTTATCACTCAGTGCCTTGTGTTTTCTTCCCAAACGTGACGAGAGCGTCTAGAACAGTAGGTGTCTGGATGAGATGTCTCCAGGCCACTGCTAAACTCTCCCCACCTCCGCCGCTGGCTTCTTCCGGTCCTGGCTGCAGGCAAAGCTCCTACCACAGCTGACAAAGAATTTGCTACTTGAGGCATCCTTGGCCACCCACAGCAAGTGGTGGATGTGTGCCACAGGGACTCCAGAACAGGACACAGCTGTGACAGTGTGGGATCCTCTGCCCACCTTGCTCCACTCACCTCTCCTCCCTCCTCCCTCCTTTCGCCTCTTAGTTCTCCCCTGTCCTCTGCCACTCCTTACACTTAAACTGTAAGATACATTGATTCAGTGAGATTCTGGATTATACAGTCAGTCCCAGGGAATTTGACCTTAATGTGGTTTTCTGAAGCCCTAATCTCTCTAAAGTTACTTTGGTTTGTGCCACCCATGCCTGCTCCATTCCAGAGGAACTTATGTCACTGTGAATGACACACTGGCTCAGTGAAGAATCCAAGCCCATTATTGGCTGTGGTTATAGCCCCTGGCACAGAGTGCCCTGTGCCAGGCACCTCCACCTGAGAAGTCACTCTGGTCTCATTTTGCATGGAGGCTTTGTAAAAGGTGTCTGTCAGGGCTCAGAGTAAAAAGAGACAAGCCCTGGCCTGACCTAGGCTGGGACCCTCAGGAATAACTGACCAGACTTCAAGATGTCCCCACTTAGCGAGGGACCAGCGGCCTTTGCCATGCTCCCTCTCAGGAGCTGACAGAGATCCAGCCACCCACCTCCTACCCTGCCTCCATTTACCCTTTTCTCTGTCTTCTACTTTTAGGGTGCCAAGGGCAACATGGGAGAGCCAGGAGAGCCCGGACAGAAGGGGCGACAGGTAAGATCCCCACCTCCTCCCCCACTCCTGACTATTCTCCCCACACCCAGGGCTGGGATGACATCACAGGCTCTTTGTTCCTCCTCCACAGGGAGATCCAGGCATCGAAGGCCCCATTGGATTCCCAGGACCCAAGGTGAGTTCCTGCTGGCCTTGCCCAGGGCTGGAGCTGGTATGTGTGGGCCTGGCACCAGGCCCAGCCCTGTCTGGGACAGGCTTCCCACCCCACCCTTGCAGATGTTTGCAGCCTAGTGCACCAACCCCTGTCGCCAATGACAGAAAGCACCTCAAAGTTTGAAGAACACCCAAAACTGTGTCCAGCCTGATCCCACATCCAGCCTTCTCCACTGAGCCTGTGTCCAGAACCACACCCAATCTCCATGCACCATAAGACCCAGCTGCTGAATCGCAGCCTGTCCTTACCATCTCCTCCTGGCATTCCTAATGCCCTGTCCTTTCCTTCTGCCCTTAGGGTGTTCCTGGCTTCAAAGGAGAGAAGGTAAATTCTGATTATGAGCAGGACCTGGCCCCACCTGACTGGGCTCAACCACCTGTCGCCTGTTCCTGGGAGCAGATCTGGACCACTGTGGGGGGCATGTTTCCAGGGGCTCTCTAGTCTCTTCTTGGCCTGAGCACTTCAATTTGCAACCCTGAGTTGACAGTGTCTGCGATGGCTGGGATATTCAGCTAACACTGCTTTCTTCCTGCACAGGGTGAATTTGGAGCCGACGGTCGGAAGGTAAGCCTGGAGGAGTGGGTGCCCACCACCCTGCCATGCAGAGGGGACAAGGATAGAGACTAACAGATCCCCTCTCCTTCCCTTTCCAGGGAGCTCCTGGCCTGGCCGGCAAGAATGGAACTGATGGACAGAAGGTAGAGTGAGCCCCCAGCCCAGCAGTGCGCTGGCCATGCACACACACGTACATCCTCATGCACAAACCTGTGCACGCTTGTGCACACAATGCATCCACATGCACGTTTGTGCATGGTGTGCCCATGCGATGTATGAGCACACACATGATCACAAACATGAACACATGCACACGTAAGCACACATGTAGGCATGCACAAGCATACACACAGGTGGGAAGGAAAATCCCACCTTGTGCACCTGGCCTGGTCCCGGCTCTGCCTACACAGAGATGATGCACGATAGCCATCAGGGAATCGCCTCACAGTCGTGTGCCCTGACCAAGGCACCACAGCTCTGCTGTGTGGTGGCCCAGGCAGCACCAGCGCTGCCCTCCATGGACCCAGAACCCCCCACTGACTCTCTTTCTCCCCTTTCCCTTCAGGGCAAACTGGGCCGCATTGGGCCTCCTGGCTGCAAGGGAGACCCTGGAAGCCGGGTAAGTGGTTTCACATGCTTGCTGCCACTTGTCACATTAAGCCTCAGCTTGGGGATCAGGGAGCCAGGTGAGGCTGGAAGCAAGCCGCTTGGACTCTCACTCCTGCCTGGCTCCTCCCTCTGGACCCTGACCTGAGCCCAGGGTTGAGCTGGGGTTGGTGATCACAATGTGAGGGTCCTGTCCCACTACCAGGAGCCTGCACTCTTGCCACGGGAGCTTCTAAACCAGTCCTCGGGGGCCTGTAGGGTCACTTCCCAGGCCAGGTGGAACCCATAGCCATGAGATGGGCAGTTCTGGAGCCATGGTGCCTGTGACCTGCTCCATGGCTGGTTGAGGCTGGTCAGGGCCTCACAGCGAGGGCAGGTGGTGCCTCAGGGCCAGAGGACAGGCTCTGCTCCCTGGGCCCCACGTTAGTGGCAAAGCTCACCTGGGGCAGTGCTGGGCAAGAGCTCAGGACACCAGCCCTTCTCACCTCTCTCAGGGACCCGACGGGTACCCAGGGGAAGCTGGAAGCCCAGGCGAGCGAGGAGACCAAGGTGCCAAGGTAGGAACCTGACAAGATGCGCACTGGGGTAGGCTAGGTCACCACCCTCATAGGCTGCCCTGGCTCAGGCCTCCAGGGACACAGACTGGCCAAGAAGCCCAGCGGGGAGGGCCTGTCCTCAAAACACTACTCAGGAGTAGGGCCTTGGGTGCACAGTGAGCCCATGGAGCCTGCATAGGAAGGCTCTGGGCATCCATGGGGCCTTGCACTCTTAGACCCTGGCGGCCCTTTTCCCCTGACTGTCCACCACTCTTGGGCACAAGACAGCTTTTCTCTGAGAACATGGATGTGAGACCCCCTGTCCTATTGCCTCCCTCCCACCACAAGTCATGGGTGCCTCACATAGGGCCCCTGCACTGGGCCTTGCACTGGGCCTTGCACTGGTCTCACAACTGGTGCCCAACCACCCTCCCCCATGTAGCATCTGGGTGCTCCCAAGGGCATAGTAGGGCACAGAGGGACAGGGAGCATGGAGGGAGGCACATGTTCAAGACCCACCCAGTCCAGCTTCACTGCCGGGTCTGTGCTTCTGCCACTGTGGAGGGACAGAGGCTTATCTCTCCCAAACAATTCCAGGGAGATTCTGGCCGCCCAGGACGCAGGGGACCCCCAGGAGAACCCGGGGATAAAGGAAGCAAGGTGAGTAGCTAGCATTTGCCCAGGATGGCCATCCACACGGGTCCTTACCCTCACATACATGGGGAGGAATGGCACGTGCCAAAGTGTCCTCTATTACCAGGTGACAGGGGCACCCTACCCAGAGGCTGTCCTGTGCTGTTGGGACACAAGGAGGCACCCTCACATGTGGGCCACCTGCTCCTGCTGAATTGTCCCCTCTCCTCCACAGGGATATCAAGGCAACAATGGAGCCCCAGGAAGTCCAGGCGTGAAAGGAGCCAAGGGTGGGCCTGGGCCCCGAGGACCCAAAGGCGAGCCTGTAAGTCACTGCCCTCAACCCTGATGGGTGCTCCTAGACCCTGACAGGTACCCCAGAATGAGACAGGTGCCCCCAGACCCTGGGGAGTAGACCTTGGGACCCAGCAGAACTCTTTCCCCACGAGCTAGGCCCCGCCCTCCCTGCAGGTCTCTCCCAGGGCTCAACTGGGGGTGGGGGCCCAGTCCAGGGCTGACTCTCAAGGGGACAATCTGAGGAGGCCATGCCAGGAAGTGACCACAGGGGCCTCGCTGACTCCCAGTTCCAGCCATGTCCCAATCACATCACCTCAATGCTGACCGGCCGGGGATTACAAGCTGACCTCACCATCATCGTTCCTGAACCCTTGGCTGGACAAAGCTGACCTGGCAGCAGGGCATGGGACAGAGCCTGCAGGTCTGGGCTGAGGCCATCCAGAAGAAGCCCCGGGCTTGGGGTCCCCAGAACCCAAAGACAGAGTCCTGGGCAGGGCAGAGTCAGGTCCCACGTGGCCAGCAAGGCCCCCCAGCTGGTCCAGACCTAGTCTGTGAGGCTTTGGGCAGTTCCTCCCCCACCAACATGCCTGTTCCTTGCAGGGGCGCAGGGGAGACCCTGGAACTAAGGGCAGTCCAGGCAGTGATGGCTCCAAGGGGGAGAAGGTGAGTCTTCCCTGTAGAGAAGCCACAAGGACCCTGGCCATGTCCAAGTCTACACAGGGGAGTCACCACAAGGCTGACCCCATCCTCATCCACCAGAACCAACTCCTGATGCCTTGCCATTGGCCGGGGGCAGGGAGTAGGTAGGAGCCCCACTCGGCTCCCCCTGAGCATCTGGAAGGCACATCCCAGGCACACCATGCACAGCAGGGCGGGCTGCACACTGCTCAACTCCAGTGCCCCAACTGCAGACATGTGCTTCTGTGGCCACTGCGGCTCTCGAGGATGGCATTGAAGTGGCTTTGTACCAAATCCAAACCACACCAGTTCCCAAAAAGACTGGGGTGGGGTGGGTCCTTGCCCATGCTGGGTGAAGCTGGTGACAGTGGGGACAAGGGTACTGCTGGATGAAGGGTGCCAGTGTTCCAACATCACCCTAGACAAACTGGGGTTTTCCTCCCCAGTCCTCTGACCCCCACCTCACACACCCAGCCACACAGTCTCTCTGGGTAACTGCCTCAGTGGAGACTGACGGGGTCTGTCTTCTGACAGGGAGACCCTGGCCCTGAGGGGCCCAGGGGCCTGGCTGGAGAGGTCGGCAACAAAGGAGCCAAGGTAGGTGGAAGGGGAGGGTGGGCATAAGAGCGGTCCAGGTCTGGTACCCAAGTCCCTGATGGAGGGCGTTGTACCCACCACCCAGCAGGCCTCATCAGGCCCTGTGGACAGGGCTGAGGCCAGCCAAGCCAGGTAATAGGACCAGTATGGGTCTGCTCCCCCCTCAGACTCCTGATACCCCCAGAGCTGATGTCAGGTTCCCTTCCTTTTCAGGGAGACCGAGGATTGCCTGGACCCAGAGGCCCCCAGGGGGGTCTGGGGGAACCCGGGAAGCAGGTCAGTAGCAGAATAACTGGAGTACCGATGTAGGGTCAGTCCCCTGTCCCCCCAACTCTCCCATATACTCCCCACCCTGGGAGATCCTCAGGTGCCTGTCTGTGGGTAGCACAGACTGGCTGCCAGTGACCACCCCCACAGCAAATGCAGGCAGTGGGACCAGGACCTGTCCTCAGATACCTCTGGCCACCCCAGCCTCAGCCATCTCCTGCCCTGAAGCAGGTTCCCAGCCCCCTCCCATCCAGGTGGGGTGACAGACCCCAATGCCAGGACCTCACATGAGGAGGAGCTCCAGGATGCCCACAGGGCAGCACAGGGACCTGAGACAGTCTGGTCACCTGGTCAGGGCTGGCCCTTCAGGCCACATGACTCCCAGGTGCAATTCCTTCTCGAGTGACTAGGCAACCCCACTTTCTCTCCTGTCCTCAGGGATCTCGGGGAGACCCTGGTGATGCTGGACCCCGTGGAGACTCAGGACAGCCAGGTCCCAAGGTACATCCCCCAACTCCTGCAGGATGGAATGTGGGCCCTGGGCACCTGCTCATGGGGAGACCCAACAGGAGGGTAGCCTCCTGTTGAGAGGGTGCTGGTCCTGCTCTCAGCTCATCTAGGCCCAGCCCCTAGATGTGGGGGCCACAGGGAACCAGGCAACTTGTCTTTGGTACTCCCCCAGCATCCGCCCCTGGGTGGGAAATGGCACGTCTTTGTCAGGGCAGGACCTGAGGGTGTCATCTCCAGTGTGGGTGGCATCTCTGGGCCATGTGGCATATCAACCTTCTAACTGGAAGTGGTCAGGCAAGGCTGGCCCTGAGGTCCCAGCCCATAGTCCAGCCCAATCTGCCCCCAGCTCCACATCCACACCATTTGGGCATCACCCCCACCTACCCCACCCTCAGTTCACAAAAACTCACTCAGCGTCCTCCTCCAGGGAGACCCCGGCAGGCCTGGATTCAGCTACCCAGGACCCCGAGGGACACCGGTGAGTCATGGTGTGGGACAAGGGCTCCCTCTCAGGAGAGGGTTGGATGTTGTCGGGAGGTCCCTGAAGGCCTCAGCTGTCCCCTCAAGGCCTCCTCTACAGGGAAAAGGAAGGGCATAGGGGTCACCCGCCACTCGGAGCAAAGGCAGGTCCAGCTGGCACCAGGAGACACAAGTAGTTCAGTGGTCACAGACATCACCCTGCATTGAGGACAGTGTGGCCAGAATGTACAGGCCGCATGGCCTTGGCCTGAAGTAGGCATGAGATCCCACATGAATTCTAAGCCTAAGACACCGTGAGGGTGGTCCCAGCCCTGGTGGATGGTCAGCTTCCCCACCTGGGACCAGATACTGGGCTGTGTGGCTGAGTGACACGTCTGATTTCTGCTTGCTTCACAGGGAGAAAAAGGCGAGCCTGGCCCCCAAGGCCCCGAGGTATGTGGGGCCCCTGCCCATCCAGCCTCTTCCCTCTGGTGTCAGGGGTCTGCATGCCATGTCTGCTGTGGCCTGGATGCCACACATCATCTTTGTGGTCAAGTCCCTGCCCCAGGCCAGACCACAAGGGTCCCAGCTGGAATTTGGGTAGTGGTAACCTGCATATCCATGTCCCTTTCAAACCAAAAGCCAGGGCTTGCCTAAAAAACCATCAGTTCTGTCCTTACCAGACCTGAGCTGCAGACACTGCTTTCTGCAAGACCATCTAAAGGCTGGAAGGTGGCTGGGAAAGAGAAGACACCCTCTGCCCAGGGCTAACAGTGTGTCCTATGTCACAGGGTGGCCGAGGAGACTTTGGCCTGAAAGGAGCACCCGGGAGGAAAGGAGAGAAGGGAGAGCCTGTGAGTATCTTGTCCAGCCATCCAGGCTGCTAGGCCAGACTCAAGGCTATCCTTGAGTCTAGCCCTGGAAGAGGATGGCCAGCCTCCTCTGACCTTCTTCATCCCACCCTCAAGTTACCCTACCTTTAGCCAGTGTCACCCAGCAGGTACTCATTGGCAGGGGTCAGGCCCAAGTCCTCTCCACCTCCACATCCCCAGCATTGGCCAGGTGTCCAACAAGGCATGAGGTGGATGGATAACACAGCACATCCCCTAGTGACAGACTGATGAATGGTGGACAGGCAGATGGCAGGGTGGGCAAGTGGGTGGAGGGGTGGACAAATGGGTGGAGAGATGGATGAATGGGTGGAGGGATGGGCAAGAAGTTGATGGTGAGTAGATGGATAGGTAAATGGATAGGTAGATGGATAGGCAGGTGGATGGATGCGTGGGTGGGTTGGGGACCATGGGGTGAGAACACCTTGGGTCAGTGTGAGCTGCTTCAGTTCCATCTTCTGAGCATCTCTGGGCTCTGCAGGCCTCAACCCTTTCTGGCAGGCCAGGCTTGTACCCATCATACCTCCCAGGCAGGGGCCATGGGGCACGGGGAGCAAGGGACCCATCCAGGGCCTTCACTGAGTCCCCCTGTCCTGTTCCTCCTACAGGCCGACCCTGGTCCCCCTGGTGAGCCCGGCTCTCGGGGGCCAAGAGGAGTCCCAGGACCTGAGGTAAGCCAGTCTCCATCCTTTTGCTCCACAGCCCCTGGGCCCTTAGCCCCTGGGCCAGCCAGGCATTGCACATCTGGCCTCGAAGTTCTGCACGTGGCAGGCCCCTGGGTCAGTGTGCACTATGTGGTTGCACCGGGAGTCACTCACTCAACAGTTCTTGCCTCTCACTGTCATTCTTCCTCCACCAGGGTGAGCCCGGACCCCCTGGAGACCCCGGCCTCACGGTAGGTGTCACATGGGGTGGAATCAGCGTCCTTGTTTGGAAATGTCCCTCTGCCTCCTAAAAGAAGGGCAGAGAATGGGGAGAGTTGACTGGAGTGGGAAGGGTCAGAAGCCAAGGTGGGGGAAGGGATGGGCAGAGATGCCAACCTTCTCCCTCAGCTCCACTCCAAATGTGGATGTGGATGTCGTGGGTGTCAGGACCAGGGCCCTGGCAGTGCTCCAAGCCTGGAGATGAGCCCACTTTCACTGTGTTGCAGGAATGCGATGTCATGACCTACGTGAGGGAGACCTGCGGCTGCTGCGGTAAATTGAGGGGATCTTAGAGTATGACCAAGGAGGGGTCACTGCCCCCTCCCTGAACTCTAGAGATCCTCACTCACCCCACCTATGGACCCTGCCGTCCCCCCAGATTGTGAAAAGCGCTGTGGTGCCCTGGACGTGGTTTTTGTCATAGACAGCTCTGAGAGCATTGGCTACACCAACTTCACCCTGGAGAAGAACTTTGTCATCAATGTGGTCAACAGGCTGGGGACCATCGCCAGGGACCCCAAGTCAGAGACGGGTCAGTGGGAACCAGGGAGGATGCAGGAGACCAGCGAGTCAGGCTGAAACCCAGACTCTCCCTCTAGGACGAGTCTTGGTTTACCACATTCCCCAAGACCTGCATTCAAGGGTGGCCGGTCAGGGACCTCCGGAGCGGGTGGCAGGCCAGCAGGCGTTCCCCTCACACTGCATGGCTGTTGCAGGGATCCGCGTGGGCGTGGTGCAGTACAGCCACGAGGGCACCTTCGAGGCCATCCAGCTGGACGACGAGCGCATCGACTCCCTGTCCAGCTTCAAGGAGGCCGTGAAGAACCTGGAGTGGATTGCTGGCGGCACCTGGACGCCCTCTGCCCTCAAGTTTGCCTACAACAAGCTCATCAAGGAGAGCCGGCGCCAGAAGACCCGCGTGTTTGCGGTGGTCATCACAGACGGACGCCACGACCCACGTGACGATGACCTCAACCTGCGGGCGCTGTGCGATCGCGATGTCACAGTGACGGCCATCGGCATTGGTGACATGTTCCACAAGAAGCACGAGAGCGAGAACCTCTATTCCATCGCCTGCGACAAGCCACAGCAGGTGCGCAATATGACCCTGTTCTCTGACCTGGTGGCTGAGAAGTTCATTGACGACATGGAAGATGTCCTCTGCCCAGGTCAGTGGTGGGACCATGGACGCTGACCCGTGGCAGGTCAGCAGGTAGCCACTGAGAGCCCAGCAGGTCTGATGAGAACATGGCCTCTTTCCTCTCTTCCAGACCCCCAGATCGTGTGTCCAGAGCTTCCCTGCCAAACAGGTAACGCGGGTACCCCAGCCCCCCACCCAGACTAGCAGAGCAGCCCCGGTGTCCTACCTGTCCTAGCAGCCTGGGCTGGGCAGAGAAGCTGCATGGGTCACTGTGGAGGTATCTCCTTAGGGAGATTCACCCCCAGGACTCCAGCACGAGGAAGAGCAGCTCCTGAGGGTACAGGGTGGTGCTCTGAGCCAACACCCAGCACTGCTGGAGCAGGTGCTGCTGGCTTGGCTGTGCTTGGCTGTCAGTCATGGGTCTCAAAGGCATTTCAGCCCTGAGAGAGCCCCATCAATGGGCTTCGAAATCTTCCCACCATGGGCGAGGGGAGGGGGGTGCAGGGGAGACACAGCTGGACTGTTCAGCTCCCTGGAAAGCCTGGTGAAATGGCTGATGTCAGACACGCCAAGGCAAGCACCCCAATACCCACATGGTGGCCCGTTTGCTTGCTGCTAAGCTAACCCTGCTGGCTGCATTTGTGGCCCGCGTGGTGCGAGGCTGGAGCTGGAGTGCTAGAGGCCAAGGCTCTGCCATTCCTGGGGCTGGAAAGGGTGGGAGGTGTTTGTGCTTCGCTGAGGGTCACCATCTCCATGGTCCCTGCTGCAGAGTGACTGGGCCTGGGAGCCTCGGGAGCCAAGTGCCCCCTCAGTGAACCCTGCCTCCTCCCAGGAGAACTGGGGGAACCTGGAGACACTAGGATGGGACCACTGTGGAGATGGGCCACAAGCAGCAGTCCTCGGCTCTGTGCTTCACACCAGTATCTGCCCATGAAGTCAGAATTTCTCAGTTGTCCCGCGACCCCTCCCCAAGATAAGGTGGCCATTAGATATGTGCATGGGTGCTGAAACCCCCTGAGAGAAGGGGCCATGTGAACTTGGGATCAGGGGTCTCACACTATTCAGACAGAACATTCCCAGAGAAATGCTCACTGCGGTCGTTCCCTGTTCTTGGCAGCTCTGTACAGTCGTCTAGGGAAGACTGCATGGGGCTCAGAAAACTAGCCTGAGGGTCAAAGGTGAGGAGCTAGGGCAGTACTGAGACCCACCAACCACAGTGCTACCCTAGCTCCTGAGGTCCCGGTGGGGCTCCCAGGTGAGTGGCGCCTTCTGTGAGTGGTGGTGTCTGCCATGACACAAACTGTGCCCCTGCCCCACAGGGCCTAGGTCCCCAGTGGTTGGGGGGTGGTGCCCAGCCAGGGTCTACACAAGGGAGGCTGATGCCATGCACCCAGCACCACGGGAGGCTCCGTGTTGACCCCTCGGCCCAGCAACCTTGCCTTGTTCCTGATTGAGCTCTCTGGATAAGTATGGCACCAACTGAAGCTCTCTGCTGCTGTCTTTACGTTGCTAGGACGTTCCTCTCTCCTAGTTTTGGTCAGGGAAGGAGGGTGCTGGGTCTTGTCACATGCATGCTCTACGCCTATTGGTGTGGCCATGTGAGTCTTCTGTAGCTGCTGACAAGATGGGTCACTCATTGGTTTTCGAATATTCAGTGAGCCTGCATACAGACCCCACTGGCGCAGGGTGTACAGTTCTTTTGTGCACAGATGGATTTAATTTACTAGTGTCTTCCTGAGGATTTGCAAAGTATCTGTGGGAGGTATGGGTCTGCATCTTCCTTTCTTTCCACCTCTATGACTGGCTTGTATCACAGTGATCCTGGCCTTAGGGTGCAGGGGCTCCAGGACAGGCACTTGAGTTGAGCAAGTTCCCCTGGGGAACAAACTGGCTCCAGAGGGTGACAGCGAAGGAACAGGAAGGAAATGGGGATCTTGGGAACTACAACCCCTGTTCTGCCCTGAAACATAAGGACCCCACAGAATGGAGCAGCCTACTGGGAGACCCATCACTCCTTCCCAGTGTTCTTAGCCCCCTCTACTCAAATTGCAAAGTTCACCTATGCAAAATTTGAAGGTAAATTAGACATGGTGACCAGGATATGGCACAGATGTCATCTTAGGAAGTGCTTTTACAAACGATATCCTGGGTGAGCATCTCGTCAGCATTTTTGGTGCAAACACGGTGCCAGGTCATACTGCCGGTTCTGGCCAGCCCTGACCTTCTGGGCCAGATAGTCTATTCACTTGGAGCCTGGCTACCCCAAGCCTGCACCAGGCAAGGGACTGTATCAACTGTGTTGAGACCACTGAGGGTGTTGTGGGATAGAGTTGACCAGTATTGAACACAGAAGGACAGACTGCAGCAAGTGGAGACAAGACACACAGAGGCTGGAGTGTGCCCAGGTTGGCACCAGAGCCAGAGGGGCTGGTCCCTCGACCAGCGTCTGGGTTTGCCCATGACTCCTTTGTGACCATAAGGAGTAGAGCAAGTTTGACCAAGATGTCCACCAAGCCAGGTCCTCCTCCTCCAGCAGGACTGGGAGCCAGAGAGAGAGGGTGGAGGACAGCGACCAAGAAACAGGCAGATAAAAGAGAGGGAGAGAAAGGCAGATACAGCTATAGAGAAAAAGAGAGACAGAGAGAAAGACAGACACAGAAAAAGAGAGAAACCTGGGAGGGAGGGAGAGATGATTTCCCTAAGAGTTTGCATCTGTGACACTGTCAGATCCTTGAGGCCAGGCGGTGGCTATGGCAGATCACATCTCTGAGGACTGGTAAAGTTTAGTGCTGTGGGCTTTCTCCAAGGGCACATTCGGGAGCCTGACTCTTTCTCAGATTGTAGCCTAGAGCTGGGGAGCCTGCAGCATCTGGTCACACCTCTGTGTAGGGCTAGGACAGAGCTGCTTCGTAATGGGTTTCCCTCCAGGTCAGTGGAGGCGAAGTGCCACATGGCTGGGCCTCCTTGGGAGTGTCGCTTGCTGATGGCTGCCCCACCCCTGCCTGCCTCCTGCCCAGATCAGATGCCCAATGCACCCATCTGCATCTCCTCGGCTGACCCATCTCTCAGGGTCACCACGCCTCACTTTGGTCCTAACTCTGCTGTCCACGGACAGGCCAGAGGAGCGCTGGAGGCCTGCTCACACCCACCAAGGCCCTTAAAGTCTTCTCTGGACGCTCCCTTGCAGATGGACCGAGGCCTGGCGGCGCGCCCCCGGTCACCTTCCTCCGCACAGAAGAGGGTCCAGATCCCACCTTCCCCAAGACCATCCCCATGATCCAGCAGTTGCTAAACACCACGGAGTTCACACAGGACCCAGCTGCCTACTCCCAGTTGGTGGCCATCATGGTCTACACTGCCGAGCGAGCCAAGTTCTCCACAGGGGTCGAGCGGCAGGACTGGATGCAGCTGTTCATTGATACTTTTAAGCTCGTGCACAGGGACATTACAGGCGACCCTGAGACCGCGCTGATGCTCTGCTGAAGCCTCAGGCCGCCATGCACAGAGACAGCCAGCGCTGTCTTCTCTCCTGCTTATTAGCTTCCTAGGGCGCCCAGCATGAGCCAGGGCTCAGACAACAGGAATTTACCTTCTCAGACTGGAGGCCAGAAGTCCCAACTCAAGGTGTCTTTAGGGCCACACTGCCTCCAGAGGTTCAGACGAAGGCTCCTCCCTGCCTTTTCCAGACCCCGGTGGTACCGCCATCCACTCCAGGGTCACCTTCATCTTCCTGTGGCCTCTTTGTGTCTTTGTGAGCCCTCCTCTTATTTAAGGACCCCAGCCATTGAATTTAAGGCCCGTCCTAAATCCAGGATGCCCACATCTCAAGATTCTTAACTTAATCCCATGTACCCAGACTATAAGGTGATGATCTCAGGCTCCCATGGGCACTTTTGGGGTCACTATTCACCCCATCCAGCTGAGCTCTGTGTAGAATGAGGTGAGGGAGGAATGGAATCCTGGTGCCTAGAGAGGTCACCCCTGCCCGCTTCTGGTTGAGCCTGAGGCAAGCTCTGCCCTCCAGCATGGGCATTGACCCTGGGTTTGATGACAGACATGTGCTCTTGGCCACAGGGCACATGGGAAGGTGACAAGGGCTGGGTGGCAAATAGTTGCACTTGGGGGCCTGGTAGTCCTCAGGCCATAACAAACCTGAGCCTGCATGGGTGTGAGCCCATTAGGCCAAACCACCAGAGCTGCCTGCCAGTGGGCCCAGGCGTCTTGTGTACCCAAGGCCTGGCCTCCAGACTATCTGGAGGCACCATAGGGGAGTGTGCACCAGGCAGGCCCTTTGCCACCCTCAGCTACCTGAGCCAAGAACCACAGGGATGTCCCCTTCCAGCGTGGGAGATCCTAGGCGAGCACTGAGCCCGAGGAGCCTCATCCTGGGCTGGGCCTCTGCTCCCTTGCTCCCATCTGTGTTCCTCTTGCTCAGAATGAGACCTGTACTCCTGGAAGGATCATGTTCCCATGCCCACTGCACGGGGCAGCCAGGCCAGACTTTCTGCTGGGGATCTTCACAGGCAGGAGAAGGGACCCCACAGAAGGGAAGGGTGCAGAACCCATGCATTTCAAACTCTCAGCCACTTGTGCATCTCCATTGGCCCCTCTGATCTAAAGCAGATGCTGAGGCATTGAGGAAAACTCCCAGGCCAGTGTCCCACTGTGTCTGTCTCCATTCTTGTGATAATGTTTGTTAGTCTTGAGAAGTGCAGGGGTCCCCAAGAACTTACTAGACACTCTAAGCAAGTTCTAGGGGGTGGTTTTCACCAAAATAAGCTATGTCGCTAATAAGCTCATTAAGAAAGACTGCAGTGCTTAAGTATTTGCCAAGCATGCATGAGGCCCTAGATTGAATTCCCCATGATGGAGGGAAGGAGGGAGGGAGGGAGAGAGAAAAAGAGGAAGGAAGGAAGGAAGGCTGGCTCCCTGGATCAAGGCTGTGCTCAGAGGCAGTGAGAAAGTGTCAAACATTGATAAAAGCTGAAACATGTAAAGCAAATGCACAGTTTGGTCAGGTGGAGAGGTGGTCTTACTTGCTGTGGGCTGAACTCTCACAGACACCTGTGAAGTGGGAGCCCTGGAAGCTGGGCCCTGCCTCAGGTCATGTACACCTGGAGTCAGGCCTCTGTTCTTGATTGGATTCACCAGGAGTCCCAATACCTGGGCTGTGAACTGAGGAGCTGGACACCTGTATCCTCCCACAGGTGGAGGAGCCCAGCTGTGATTCCCTGGGGTGTATATGATCAGGTCACACGCAGCCTAGTCTTTGATGTCCATGTGTGTGGTGAACAGCCTGGCTTTAGCTGCAGCCCACCCCACACTGTCCCTCCTGTCTATGGCCATCAACATAGGGGAGGGGTCCTCTTGGTGGTGTACTGGGCTCACTGCATACTGAAGCCAGGAGTCTAAGGGGACATGGGCTCCTTGTATTTCTGGGAGATGTGTGGCCCAACCAGCTCCAGGGAGCTCCAGGTAGTGGGACTCTTTGAGAGTGAACATCAGAGATAGGGTTTTCATGAGATCCCATCTCCCTCCCGCCAAATGGTGGCTCTTTTGTGGATAGCTGATTCTTGGGCCAAGAAGAGGGGTTTTGCAGACCAGGGAGGGCCTGGAGATGACCAGGGCCTGGTGTGAAGACCAGGTCTGTGGCCCTCCAGTTTGGGAACATTTTTTGGTGGCAGGACCTGGGGATGCCTATGGTGGGTCCTCAGGGTATAGGGACACACTACCATGGAGCACAGGCCAGGACCCGGGAAGGGCTGCTCTGCTGCTGGTGAAATAGGGCGATCTGGAGTCCAGTGGGCCGAGTGCCCGCAAACATGGGTGAGCCCAGCCTGGCCCCCCACCCACCTCGCATCTCCCCTGCAGAGCTGTACGTGGCCCAGTGCACACAGCGGCCCGTGGACATCGTCTTCCTGCTGGACGGCTCCGAGCGGCTGGGCGAGCAGAACTTCCACAAGGCGCGGCGCTTCGTGGAGGAGGTGTCACGTCGCCTGACACTGGCACGCAGGGATGACGACCCTCTCAACGCCCGCGTGGCCCTGCTGCAGTATGGCGGCCAGCGCGAGCAGCAGGTGGCCTTTCCGCTGACCTCCAACCTGACGGTCATCCACGAGGCGCTGGAGAGCGCCACCTACCTCAACTCCTTCTCACACGTGGGCGCGGGCATCGTGCACGCCATCAACGATGTGGTGCGTAGCTCACGCGGTGGGGCTCGGCGCCACGCCGAGCTGTCCTTCGTGTTCCTCACCGACGGCGTCACAGGCAACGACAGCCTGGAAGAGTCAGTGCACTCAATGCGCAAGCAGAACGTGGTGCCCACTGTAGTGGCCGTGGGCAGCGACGTGGACATGGACGTGCTCACCAAGATCAGCCTGGGTGACAGGGCAGCCATCTTCCGCGAGAAGGACTTCGATAGTCTGGCCCAGCCCAGCTTCTTCGACAGGTTCATCCGCTGGATCTGTTAGCCCGGCTGGTGTGCCTGCCCTGCCCATGTTTCACCTCTTGTGGTGCTAATCAGACCCCAGTCCCACCAGTCCCAGCCAGACTGCACACTCAGGTGCAGTCTTCCCACTACCAGGAGCCTCCTTTCCCAAGGAGGTCAGGACTGGAGGACCCCAAGCCCCAGACCCCCTACCCACCTCTAGCTCACCTGGGTGCCCCTCCTGCCTTTCCATCCTGCCCCCACCATGCTCAATAGTCCTGGAGGGGTGGCAGGGACAGTGCTCTCTCCCCTGCTCTCTCTGCCCCTCAGCCTCCTGCCTCCTCCCCCCGCACCCTACAACACCTTCCCAAGGCCTTCTGCCAGCCTTTGCTAGTCCTGCCTAGATCCTGGTACTCCCTGCCCTCCCCTGAGTTCATGAGAGCAGGCCTGAGAACCCTGTGTCATACACCCGACAGCCCAATAAAGGCTTTGAACCCACTGGCTGCTTCCAACTCCCCAATGTCTGTGCCTGGCACAGCCCCGCTCCCATCCTTTGTCTTACTGCCTGGGTTTCCTCTAGCCACAAGAGGGCACTCAGACCACATGCCACTCACCAGGATTGATGGGTTCCCAAGCACCCCAATCCGGGCCAGCCCTCCCCTCCCCAAGTGCTTAGCACAACCTCAGCAGGGACTCCACCCTGGCTGGTCAACACTGGACTGAAAACAGTGTTGTGTGATCAGTGAGCAATCCCTCTGTGCCCAGTCCAGGGCAGGGCACTCTCAGACTGTCCCACAGTTTGCAGGAGGGCACTTCTTGATGGACAGATGATTGGTGGGTGATGCATGTCCAAGACAGACAGTCAGACAGAGACATTCTTTTTGCAGTGTGGGTGATATGTGGTCACCTGGTCTTTCACATTCACAGTCCCACAGGTTGCACATGGAAGTGTCAACTCCCCAGGACAGACACTGTACTCTGTGTTAGCTGCACAGCTCGGTACCATAGACTGAGTGGCCTGGAGTTCATCGTCTTAGGCTCAGAGGTAAACGTCTGCCTGGCACACACAAGGCTCTGGGTTCAGTACAGCACAGTAGTAGAGGCCACCAGTCCAGGCGTGAAGTGCAAGCAGGCCAGTGCCCTCTGCTGGTGCCGGAAAGGATCTGCCCCAGCCTCAGGCCTCACTGCTTCAGTCCCAGGCTTGCAGTAGTACCACTGAGATGTCCACTCTGTGTTCAGTGTTCATCGGTGTCCAAATTCCCCTTTTCAGTTTTTCTTTTTTCAAGACAGTAGAAGTTTTTCCTAAGCTTTTTAAAAAATTCACAGCATGAGGTGAAAGAAAAGAGAGTTCTCCTTGGGCGATATTTTACACAGTGTAGTGAAATGGGTATTTGTGAGGGATTATGTTTCTCAAAAGCTGGATGAAGCAAACAAGTGCGAGTTCTCCAGTTGACTCTTCCACGGCCAAGCTCTATCACCATTGCTGAGGACTTCAGGCCTGAAGCATGGCTGTCCATCAATACCCACTAGTCCATGTCGAGAATCACTTGGGCTTGGTGGACTCTTGGTCTCAGGCTACTTTCTCCTCCATTCACTGCCATGCTGGCCTCCTCCCGTCCTCTGACAACTTCGCTGGAAACCGTTAAGAGCTCTGCCTGTTTTCTTCTCTGAGCTCATCTGAATATTAGTATCAAAACCAGCCTCACCCTGTTGTGTTCCTGTACACCAGCTGTGGACAGTGTGTACTTTGGGGGAAAATTGGCTTTATCTCCCTTTTATGGATTCTGTATATTTTGGTGGGCCCTCACACAGAGTTGCTTCAGACTTGGTTTCTTTCAGTTTGTTAAGCTTCACATTTCTCACTTGGTTGGACACTTACACTTTCAGTATGCTTAAAATACTCTCTAAAAGATGGGTATAGGTTGTAACTTAATAATCCTTACTAATGGTCTTGGATACATTTGTAATGTTTCCTAATAATTTATGTTTTACAAGAAACAGATCTGTGTCTTGTAGTCCTGCAGAAACTTGGCAATGTCCTTTGTGGGCAGCTTCTCCACACTCCACACTCACTGAGGAATGGCCACCGCAGTCTTTCCACTGCTTCTGCTTTTCACCAAATTCCCCTTTTTATGAGGTCACTAGTCCTGTTGGACCAGGGCCCACTCTGCTCCAGTACAACTTCACCATAACTGGTCACATTTGCAAAGGCCATTTCCAGTAAGGTCACACTCTGACGTGTACAGTGGCTTGGAAGCTGACACACGCATTTAAAGCAGCCGTTCATCTCACTATGCTCTGACACCTTGGTATGACTCACTCCCTGCTGCTAGTCCACCTCTGCCATCTGACTGCCAGCCTGCAGCTGGAGGGAAAGACTCCCTCCCACGAGTACCATGCATGGTGCCAGCGAGACCCACCAGCCCCCTCAGCCCCTGCAAGCTGAGCGACACCCTAGACCACCGAGCTCTCAGCAGGAATCTTGTGGGTCAGGAGTATGGAGGGACACAGAGGCCTCTCAACCCATCAGAGCTCAGCCCATAGGACCATGACCAGAACCCTTTGGAGGGAAAAGCCATCCCTCTGTGATGCTGGCTCCTATATGTGCAGCCTCAGGGAAGGTAGGAAAGCCAGTTCCCCGGAAGGGACTTCAGACACCAGTGGTCTGGCAGAGGGTTCCATTCACCAACATCCCTCATCAACTATTGCTGGACTACTCCAGCAAGTCCTATAGACATCCCCTCACAATCATGCTCTCCTCCCTCTCCCCCACCAACATGCCAAGCCACTTTCTATCCTCTCAACAACATCCCCTGGTCATGTTGTCCATACATCATCCCCACGTGAAAACCACTCACCGACATGCCCACTTCCCCAACCCTTGCACACATCCCCTCACCATCTCACCACCATCCCCTCACCACATCCCACTCCAGCGTCCCTCAACAGTCTCCCCCATCAACATGCTGCTATCAACACCCCTCCTATTTACTCACCAACGTCCCTCACCAACATCCCCTCACCATCATCCCCAGACTAACAACCCATCACTGTTCCCCAGCCACATCCCTCACTAATGTCCCTCCACCAATGTCCCCTTAATGTCCCCTCGCCAACATAACCACAACTCCCTCACTGTCACCTTCCTGTCAATGCCTCCTCACTTCTGTGCCTTCTGTCGTAGTGGCTGTGGGCTATGGGCTATGGGTTGTCGTAGTGCACGGCTCAGGGCTTTGAAGAAACCTGTCCTTGACCAGAAAGGAATCACACAGAAACATTTTCAGGTGCTCTCCGGATCCTGGCTTTGTCACACCTCTGCTGCTAGATTCTCACACAGAGCCCACCCCCACCCTGCTTTGGACCCATCACATCTGTTACCTCTTCATAAAAACCCCTCCCACACACTCCTGCACATGCTAAAGGGAAGGGTTTTCGTCCAACCTTCCTCATTCTCCTGTGGCCTTCTGTTTCCAGGTTTCAGGGTTGAGACGTGGCTGGGGGCGGGAACCTGATCTGGAAAGCCCATCCCAGTCTGCTCTGCCTGGGGAGGAGCCTGGGGAAGTGGTGCCTGGGAAACCGGCAAACCGGTCCTCTGATACACTTCTGTGCAGCATCCAAGGCTGAATCACAAAGATGCCAGGCAGTCTGGTGGCTGGGACGAGTCCAGGCTCCAAACTTCTCTTCCCTTAGTTGGCCTTGAAGCTCACAGAAGGTGCATAGGACTTGAATTAGTGGTTCCTCTCATCTGCCTCCCCCAGGTCGGCCCCTCCTGGATGGAACTCGCTTCTGAGATCAGCTGCTCTGACTCAGCTGTGATGAAGGACCCATGGGGTGGGGTGAGGCGCTGGCAGTCTCTGTGCCCCAATCTGTAAACAGCCCCTGCATGCTCAGGGTGCTGGCCTTGGAAGGCTCCCCACGAAGCTCTGAGCTAGCAACCTCACATCCTCAAGTCCTTGGAGTCCCAAGGCCCATGAGTCCTCCCTGCAGCCAGCACCACAGTGGTCTTTCCTGAAAGCTGAGCCCAAAGCCCCCAGAACTAACCTGGCCACATTCTTCCTGCTGTTTTTAACAGTGTGCGTGCTGCTAAGACAGGGTCTGCCAGACCCCAAAACCTCCTCCCTCCTGTCTGACAGAGCTCTCGGCCCTGGCAGCCTAAAGCCAGACCTTCCAGAACAAATCCACACAGAACCCCGAGCCAAGCCTGCCCCAGCGCCCAGTCGCTGGGCACTACCTGTTGCTGAAGGACACCTGGGGTGGGGTACAGTGGGTCTGAAGATGAGTTGGAGGTTACTGTGCAATCCCTCCCTCCCTGAGCACACCAGCCCCTCCTGACCCATGAAATGATAGGGGATGTCACTCCTGCTGAGGCAGGTCCCTCCATCCTCTGTGCTCCCCCCATGGAAGGGCCCACCTCCTTGCTCCAGCCCCCCAGCCCAGGGACCACTTCTGGAAGCACTGGACAGACCTGTGGTCACACTGCTGGGTCTGAAGCTGCACAGGGACATGGCCTGGGGAAGCCCAAGGCCAGGGGCAGGGACTGAGCCCAGCATCTTCAGCCATGATGCTCATGGGCCATGGAGGGTATCCACAAGGATGGGGGAACTCCTGTATTCAGGAGCTGCTATCCTGAATACCCTCTGGGCACCAGGGCCTGGCCTGGCCCCTCCTGGCAAGGTATGACACCAAGGGCCATCTGGTGGCTGCAGGTGTCAGAGTCTTGAGTCATGCATCCAAGGATTGGGGTCAGGTTCCCATCCCCCTTCCTAGCTGGGGCCTTGAGCAGGTCCCAAAACTCTGTGCCAAGTGTCCTCTGTCCTCAGGTGTGGGAAATCTCTAAGACTCAAGGACAGCCCTGGCCCCCAGATCACTGTGCTCAGCGCACAGGAGCCAGGTACCCAAGATGGTGTGGGATGGGGCTCAGGTCTCACACGTGTGGCAAACACCCGCAGAGGCCTTCAGGGCTGACCACCAGGCATTCCCATCATCAGGCCTGAACCAGTGGCCTCACTAGTAGTCCTCAGGCCACCAGGACCTGCACCCCATGGCAGGTCCTGGTGGCCTGAGGCAACTGTGGCAGAGAACATTGGCAGGCATGAACATTATGGAATTTCCTCCCTTCCTGGCCCCCACATAGGTCCCACACCCCCAGAGGAGTCAACATGCAGGACAGAAGGTCCAGGCTGATGGTAGAGACCATAGGGTCTGTGCCTGGCTGGGAGTTCAGGGCTAGTGAGAGCTGGATCCCTTAACTAACCTGGGGCAGCTTGTCCTACCCCATCAGGACCCAGAGGACTTTCACCTACTTGGGGCCAGCTGGGGTCAGGCCACCAAGGCCAAGGGCTACCCTCATGCAGGACAGTGGCTCAGGGAAGGGGGAGCTGGCTGGACAGGATCCTGTGGCCTCCATGCTTCTCCTAGTTGTAGAGGTGTGAGCTGGGCATGAGCCTATAGCTGAGTTTGGCAACTTGAGGCCTGTGCAAACACACAAGCATCCTGTGGAACCCCATCATGCCCTTTGAGGTATGCATGACCTCTAACTAGCCATATGGGCCACAAGAAATGCACAAACACCCCTCAGAACCAGCAGGGTGCAGTGCTCCTGGGTCTTGTGGCCAACTTGGTCCAGTCCCAAGTAGAGGTGCCTGTAGCTTCCACACAAAGCTTGCCCATGGCTCTTCCCAGAGCTGGGCCGGCCTTTCTGGCACTTTGTCCGTTTGGCTAGCTCTCAGGGACTGCTTGCAGGGATCCAAAGCCCCACAACTCATGCCGGATGTCCATTTCCACCACTTCCCTGCGGTGATGACACTTCAGAAACAAGTGTCTTAAATTTTCAGATAGTAAAATCTGCCCTTCAAGACATTTGGGCTTTCTGCCTTGCTTAAGAAAAATGCACTCCTACACCATTTTTAAAATTTCTGTTGCTGTTTAACAAGTGCAGTCATACTTGTTAGGTTTTGCACGGCATGGCACTTCTGAAAGGTGTGAGCTGGGCTTTCTAATTATTAATGGAGAACTCTGAGGGAGGAGGCAGCCACAGCAGGGCAGCTAAGGGAGAGAAGCTCCAGCGAAGGGTGGTGGCCTGGTAGCTGGGACTGGACTCATTCAGTACACAGTAAGATTATCTGTGGCTCTCAGGAGCTGCTCAGTGCTCCCCAACATGAGGGCCCTGTGCACTGGAGGTCCCTGTGGGATTGCTGTTCTTCACCATGTCACCCTGTGCTGAGCCCCAGTGCTCCAAGCCTCCTGGAATCAGGCACAGCGCCCCCCACCCCCTCACACACACTGCACTTGGGGACCCTGGGCCTGTGGCTATCACCTCATGGCTCACAGACCATGGGGGCCCCTGTCCCTGTGCCCAGTCCAAGACTCAACCCTCATCCCTATCCCCAAACCCAAGCACACTCACTACACAGGCTTGGTGCTCAATCTTTACTGCAGGCCCGGGGGGACAGAGGGTGACAGGAGACCTTGGACACATGTTCTTCACCCTATTATTCACCTCTGTCTCATTCTCTGACCCCACATGGAGCTGTGTGGTGCACCACCTCTCAACCCCCATCCTAACGTAGCTGAGGTCACAGTTGAGCTCCACTGAAATGAAACCTAGGTCCCTCAGGGTAGGTGAGGGCCACTGGGAATTGTGCCATCTAGGGAGGTCTTCTGCTGCTGTCATTCCTGACGGGTCTCCAGGCTGTCCAGCACCAGTGCAGCCTGGGTCTTGGCTTCCTGCAGGAGACTGGACACACGCTGGCGGATCTGACAGGCACAAAAGGGAAAGTCAAAGCATGCCAGTGGACACTTGGTCACCCTATCCAGCAGCCCCAGAGAGAGGGCAATGGCCTTGTCCACTGCAGGTAGCTAGCAGGAACCAACGCTGCTCATGATGGATAAGACAGGCTCCTATACCCTGCTTGGCACGAAGCCCACCTCCTGCCCACCTGGTCCTTAAACACGTCATCAGTCACATCTCTCAGGTTGATAAGCACATTGAAGTATGCACCAAACACACCCATCTCCAAGGCTTTGGCCGCCACCTGCAGAAACACAACGGAGCAGAGCTGGCTCTGGGACTCATGACAGCCTGGCCTGGCCTGGGCCAGAGACCTGAGCAGCCCCTTCACCTCTCAGAAACCTCACTCCTCATCAGTCCAGGCTGAGCAAGCCATCCGACCCCAAGGATCTACACCCTAGGGCTCCGTGCAAGAGATGGGTCAGGGCACCAAATGGGAGCTTTGTTCTCCACACCAGGAGACCCTGACTCCACCCACACAGAGCAGGCTGCCATGATGACAACCTCAGCCTGTATCTGAATCCAGAAAATAAGAGCTTTTATCAGAGCAGATGTGGCCCCAGAAGGCCTGGAGAAAGCTGCACCAGCCACAGTTAAAAGACAAAATAGTAGTGAAGCCATAGTTCTGAGCCCCCACCATTGGCAGCTGTCTATCTGCAATATGGGAACAGAGGGTCACTGCTCTGGCGCCTCAGGACCACACACTGAAAGCCTGTGGACAGTTATGTCCTAGTGTGGCTGCAGGAGACATACAGCCATGGCTCCTTCCTGTCCCGCCTCCCATGCTAGGCACAGGGTGAGTTTAGTCTACTTCCTCCAACTGCCTCGGGTGTTTTCTAGGATGGGGGAGGGAGCAGAAGGGGAGGACTGATGTGTGGACTGTTCTGCACTCAGGTGCACTAAAGGTTCTGAGTTGCTGCCTGACTATGGTGCAACCTTGAACCAGACCTCAAAATAGCTGGGTGTGGTGGTACATGCCTGTAATCCCAGCACTTGGGAGGCCAAGGCAGGATGATTACAAGTTCAAGACCAGCCTGGGTGAGACCCTGTCTCAAAACAACAAAAGACAAAACAAAACAAAAAAACCTTAAAATGGAACAAAGGAGTGGGCCCTGCTGGAAAAGAATGAGCTGCCAAGAAGTCCCCAGAGCTCCTTGTACCTGCAGGTCTGACCGGCAGGCCAGGTTCCCACACAGGGCCAACTCCTGAAGCGCAGGCCACAGTGGTGACACTGTCTCTGCGAGTGCCAATGGCACAGCGACGGCCTGCTTCAGCCCCTCCTGCAGGGCAGCTGTGCGACTGAAAGGGAGGGGAGGATAGTGTGAGCCGGGTGCAGGGCACACTCTAACCCCATCCCTGACCAGCCCTCCCCAAAAGGCTGAGCACACGGAGCCCAAGTAGGACAACCGACAATCATTCAGTGCCCAGGCCCCTGGCCCCCATGTCTAGCAGGGCCACTGTCCACTGCTGTGCTTACCTGTCCCTCTCCTCAGGTGTGTTCTTGGGCAGCTTCATTGCCTCCTACCAGGAAAAAAGATCAAGCAACACATGGCACATGACCATGAGGGGGTGGCTGAGTTCCCTAACTATGCCTGAGTGACAGTGAGCAAGGGCTGTGTCTTGGGACACGTGGGAGGCAACTAAGGGGCAGCATGATGGCTGTGTCCACCACAGCCTCCAGTGATTGCGTTTCCCACTTGGCCTGTGTCGTTGACAGGGAGCAGGCCACAGGGCATTCTTTGGGGACAGTGCTTCCATTGGGGTCTGTAGTTTATAGTTCTTGGCATCAGGACCCCCAGTGGAGGGGGCCCACAATGGGTGGTCAGAAACCCACATGGGGTACAGGGAGAGAACAAGGCAAGCCCTTGTTTCCAGAGAAGAAGACAGGACCCGGGAGGTCCCCTGATTTCTGCCTAGTGTCCCTCCTACAGCAACAGGTTCCTCCAGGGCAAACATCAATTTCAAATAACACAAGCAACTGTGCCACGCCTAGTCTAGACACAAGGAGGTGGGGGGCTGGTGTGGGGGGAGTCAGGAGGCAGGATGAGCACAACTGGAAACCCCAGGCCCTCCCAGCCCACAGTACCCCATTCTTTGTCCTTGCCCAGCCATCGGCCCAGCCTTCTTTGTGACTTCACCCAAAAGGGTCCACGATGCTTCTCTATTCAGATCCCCACGTATGGTACATACTATGGATCCAGGCCTCCAGAACACCCTCCCCACATGGAAGACAGTCCAGGGAGCAGCTGGCTGAGGGAGGTGCCCACTCTGGTTTTGGAAGACTCAGCCAAATCTCCACCCAAACTCATCATTAGCACCCGTACCATCAGCCATGGGCGAGAGCTGAGCAGACACTCTGTGCTCCCTGCAAACTCATGGGAGCTCTCCCCACAAATGTCCTTCTCCAGCAGTGTCCCTCATGGGGACTACAGCACTTCCATGTAAAGAGGGATGAGCATCCTGGCTGAGATGCGAAGGAAGAGTGAGACACCCTGGGTGTCTGTGTTAGTTAGTAGAGTCCCCATTGAGCAGAACTGTCCATCACATAGCCTCGTCTGTGGCCTCTGCAAGCCCACCCAGTTAGTCCTATTTCCTGATTTTTATTTTGATGGGGAGGGTACAAAGCTAGCATTTTACTCCATCTGGAAATTTCCCAGGTACTTGGTGGAATGTCTCCTTGCTTTTTTTCCAAATGTCCATCTTCTTGGTGGTCACAGGGAACATCAACCAACTCAGTATTTACACACGTTTGTACGTGTGCTCTTGGTCACACCGTTTCATTTCATGTCTTCTCAAAGACCGTCATTGTTTGTTTTCATTTTTCCTTCCTGTCCTGTAGGTAAGTCTTCATTTGTCTGCTTCTCCAGATGTTTTCAAGTATTCCCCTTACTTTTTACTTCTATCTCTAAATTTAGGGTTGTCCTTAAATTTCTAATATTTATATTTAAGCTGATATTTCTCTTTAAATGCCTCTCTTTCTCTCAGTCTCTCCCTCTGTCCCTCTGTCTCTGTCTCCCTGTCTCTGTCTTTCCTGCCTGAGTCTCTCTCTCAGTTCCTTTCTCTCTGTCTTTCTCTGTCCCTCTGACTATGTATTTCTTTTTGTCTCTCTCTGCATATCTGTCCTTCTCTGTGTCTCTCTTTGTCTCTGTGTCTCTCTCTCTGTATCTCTCTTTGTCTCTCCATCTCTCTCTATCTCTCTGTATCTCTGTCCCTCTGTGGGTCTCCCTCTCTTTGTCTCTGTGTCTATCTCTGTCTCTCTGTCCGTCTCCGTCTCCCTGTGTCTGTCTCTCTCTACACCTGTCCCTCTGACTGTACTTCTCTGTCTCTGTCTCTGCATCTCTTTCTGACTCTGTCTCTGTGTCTTTCTGTGTCTGTCTCTCTCTGCACCTCTCTGTCCCTGACTATACCTCTCTCTGTCTCTCCAACTCTCTGTCTCTTTCTCTTTCTCTCTGTCTCTCTGTCCCTCTGACTGAACTTCTCTGTGTGTGTGTGTCTCTCTCTCTCTCACTTGTGCCCTTCTCTCCTGTCCTCCCACACACACCCTGGGTGGATGCTATTTTCCAAGCTGATGTTTCTACCTCTCAGTTCTCCTTCCAGCTCTTTATCTTATGGCTGAAGAGTTTCTCTATCTCTGGGAGACTGGCAATCACCAGCTTTTCTTCTGTGAAGACCTCTGTGACCTTTGCTCCAATGGAGCTCTTCTTTGGGGGGGGTCTCTCCTTCCTTTAAGTCTGAGGGCCTGGGGTCTGGGCACATCCCTTGACTGGACCTGCCCCTGGAGTGCCTGGCTCTCTCCCTCCCACACCAGCTGGCCACTGACTGCATAGCCCGTGCCTGGGGGTCACCCGTGGTCCAGGCTGGCTCTCCAGCAGCCTTGTGGGAGGGAGGTGCTAAGCCAATGCCCTCCCCCCAAAATCGAGGACCATGTTCCCCCCCCCCCCCGTGAGCCCAGCCTGCCCTGTCACCCCGACCCCCTTCTCTGCTGGGGGTCTGCAGGTGGCTATTGGGTCCGGGGCTGGCGGAGGCGTCTGCGCACTCACCAGGTAGGCGGTGAAGGCCTGGGCATCGGCGTCCACCAGCGAGGCCAGCTGGGCCGAGGCCGCGTGGAAGGGCGGGATCAGGCGCCGCATCTTGGAGTCCAGGTGCTCGAACTGCCGCCGCCCGTAGGTCATCTGGCCCACCATGGAGCCCAGCGCCGCGCCCTGCGAGGGCCGAGCTGTGGCGCCCTTTGCGTGCCAACGGTCCCGAGCAAGAGCGGGGGACCTGCCCTGTCCTCCTTCCGGGGACCCGAGCCAGTGGGGCCCGCGCTTTGGGCTCATGCACTTTGGGGGCCCGCACTTTCGGGGTCCCCTCCCCGGCCGGCGCTCACCATGGCCGCAGCGGCCGCCGCCACCGAGCCGCCCCCGGGCGCCGCCGAGCGGGCGCCCACCTCGCGGACGAAGGCGCGCAGGGACTTGTCCAGCAGGCTCTGCCCGGGCGGGCTGTCGGGGACCAGGTACCTGCCGGGGTGCGGGAGGCTCAGGGACCCGCCCGGGGCGCACTGCCCTCCTCACCAGGCTGTCCCCGGCTTGTCGGGGTCTCACCATGACCCCCGGCCCCACACAACACCAGGAATGGGCTGGGGGGGAGGCAGGGACTGCCGAGGAGGGGAGGGGCATAGAGGGGAGGGGAGGGCCATGAGGATGAGGGGCGGGGCGTGGGCAGAGGGGAGGAGCTGGAGGGGCGGGGCACGGAGGGGCGGGGCGTGGGCAGAGGGGAGGGGCTGGAGGGGCGGGGCACGGAGGGGCGGGGCGTGGGCAGAGGGGAGGAGCTGGAGGGGCGGGGCACGGAGGGGCGGGGCGTGGGCAGAGGGGAGGAGCTGGAGGGGCGGGGCATGGGGGCGGGGCGTGGGCAGAGGGAAGGGGCTGAAGGGGCGGGGCATGGGGACGGGGCGTGGGCAGAGTGGAGGAGTTGGAGGGGCGGGGCATGGGCAGAGGGAAGGGGCTGGAGGGGCGGGGCGTGGGTAGAGGGGAGGGGCTGGAGCGTGGACTCGTGAGGAGGAGCAGCTGCGGGGCAGGGCCTGGCAGCCTCACTCGATGATCCGCTCCTTAGGGTTGAAGGGCGCCAAGGAGTCCAAACCCATCCGGTTCACGACCTGGAGAGGGGGCATCTCACCTCAACCCACTGCCCACGCCAGCTGGATCCCCCTCAGAGGCCCAGAATAAGTCTCTCCTTTTTGGGAGGCTCCCTGCAGGAGCACTGCTGACCGGGCCCCCTGACAGACTGGGATATCCCCACCCACTGTGAGTGGAGAAACTGAGACCAGAGAAAGGAGTTGCCGGCCTCCCTAGCAAAGGAAACCTTGCTGGCCATGTGTCTGTCCCACAGGCACCATGAGCCAGCCCCTGGTAAGATTCTAATTTTGGGGATAAGACTCTTAATTCTTTCAGACAGTGCAACCCTGATTCACCTAAACATAAAATGTGAGGAAAAGTGAGTTTCACCTTAATTCAAGATAAAATTGTAGGATTAGAATTCATTCTACCAAAAACCATTCAACCCTGTGCAACAGTGAAATCCCCACTGCTAAGCAGAGCAACAGTGAAATCCCCACTGCTCAGCAGAGCAGGCCTGCTTCCTAGGAAGAGTTGACAGTGACGTGTGCCCTTGAGGGACACAGGCCAGGCATGTCCAAAGGTGGCCATGGAAATGGGTGAAGAATGGCTCCTAGGAGTTAGCTGCAGAATCAGCAAGCAATCAGGTAAAGTATCCTGGGACAAAAGATGTCAGGAAGACAGAATTTGTAACATAGACATGAATGCATGGCTAAGCTATAGAGAGCACAGGAAGACATTCAAGCCAAAAGTAACCCAAAAGCAAATCCAGAAGGCCTGATAGCCCTGACTCTGGGTCCATCCTGGAACAGCAGCTTCTCATGAGTGGAGGACTCTCAGACCTTCAAAGAGTAGGGTTAGCCTGGAGAACCATGCATGAGTGGTGGCATCCTCACAGATAAATTAGGGAAAACCACCCACCAAAGGAAAGAGTTGGGCAACTTCGTTGTCCCTTCCCTCTGAGTGATGCAGGGAAAATCTCTCGTGGGAATTCCCAGTCACAAGCCCTCCTGACAGGGTGGGCCATGGCTGGCAGAATTCCCTACCTGTGTAGTTCCAGCACTCCAAGCAAATGGCTTAGCTTAAAGTGGCCCTATGTAGTAGTATGTAGTAGTGTCCCTGAACATGTAGCTGAGGCAATCACAAGCCCTCTTTGGAGGGGAAAACTTTAAACCCAGGTGTTGAAGAATTGCCACAGATAAAATTCAAAGAGCATGCACGCACGGTCAAAAATCACGAAGACAGGAAGAAGCAAGTCACCCCGACAGAAAGACTGTACTAACAGCAATTTGCAAAAACAGAACTGCAAAGACTGAAGATACCAGAGCTTTCAGAAAAAGAATATACAATCGTGTGTTAAGACCAGAATACAGTAACAAACATATCAGTGAAGTATAAATACATGTGGGAAGTCAGAACATCACTGCTGGCTGCTAAACCTTATGGCTGGGACTTCAGGAGGAACTTGTGTTTGTGTATTCTTAACGTACCTCCCACACAGCACCGCAGTGACTAGCCAGGATCAGGAGACACCACCCCGACCACATGACCAATGTTGGCACACCGACATGTGGTCTCCTGATGCTGCCGCAGGACACGGCATCACTTGTGTCCTGCCAGAGTACACAGCCTCACCTAGTCACCAGCAACACCAGACCAGGTTCCAGGGAAGGACATTTACAAAACAGCCCATATTGTAAAGGACATCAAGGTCAATGAAGAAACAGGAAGACTGGAACACTAGTCAGATTAAAGGAAGCAAAAGAATCTAGAAGCAAATGTTGTGTTGGCTGAATTGGATCCTGAATTGGAAAATAAATAGCTATGATGCAGGCTGGGATGCAGTTCAGTGGAACACTTGCCTGGCATACATGAAGCCCTGGGTTCACTTCCTAGCACCACACACACACACACACACACACACACACACACACACACACACACAACTGTAATGGAAATTATTAGGCATTTGTGTGGTTTAATTACAGTCTGAAGTTCTGATAATAGAATTGTGTCAGTGTTCAATTTCCTGACTTTGATCATTATATGTGTTACACATGAGAGGGAAAGAGCACAATGTGTTTGGGCCACTCTCAAATGGTCCAGAAAAATAATAAGATGATACATGAGTGCAGAGAGAGGAAGGTGGGTCTGGAGCTGCAGCTCGGGTAGAACAGTGCTTGCCAAGGATAATAAAGTAAATGGGGACATGCAAACAACTGGCAAACTGGAAAGAGAGTGTAAGGGAAGTCCCCTGTAGGAAATCATACAGACAAAAAGTTACCCACAAAATCTTAACAGTCATCAGCAGAATAGACTTGGCCATAAACTCTGTCAACAACTTAGAGGCTCAGTCTGAGGAAATCATTAAATTGGGGGAGTGGGGTAAAGAAAGTAGAGAGAGGATAGAATGCCAAAAAGACAGAAGGGGCTGCCGTCCAGTCTGTGTCCCTAAAGTGGACAAACCCCTGGACCAAACATTACAGAAAAGAATGTTGTTGGGACTAAACAAGAATGGAGCCTACAAGTTTTGGACGGGAACTGTGTAGAAGAGGATTGGAATGGCTATGCTGGCCTTTGACCTCCCTGCAGTGACCTATCCTTCAGAAGAAGGTGTTCCCAGAGAAAGCATGTGGCTTGGAATTCTAGTTGTTCAACCATCTTGCAAGAGGGACATTCCCAAACATGTCTGAGCCCCATAGTGAAGCCCTGTGGCCTCTCCACGAAATGTATGACCTCACTTAGACGCAAGGCTAAGATTAAATGCCGTGAATGTGAGGTATGTCTGATAGGTGAGGATATGGCTATAGGAAGTAAATGTCACAGATTCAGAAAGAGTAAGAATATAAGAATAACTCTGTGGGGTGTGTGGCCCAAGTGATAGAACACTTGCCTAGCAAGCACAAGGTCCTTAGTTCAAACATCAGTACCACCAAAAATGAATGTAAAAATGACAACACAATTTAAATCTGGACCAGAAGCTCCTGCTCCAGATTTCTTCAGCAGGAGTCAGGAGCATTGTCTACCATTGGTAAACAAGTGCCAAAGAATTAAGTGTATTATTTTGACCTAAAAATTTAACCACAAAAAAAAAAAACCAAAAACCTAAAAGTACTTTTTAAAAATCGGGGAGCTAGGGAAGGAAGAAGAAATGAGAGTAAAAACTATTTTTTTTTCTTATTTTCTCATATTTTTCTTGTTTTCTCATTTCATAGCAGGAAGTCAGAATACTCTAAAATTGATATCAAAAATTGAGGTAACAGGGCTGGGGACGTGACTCAGTGGTTAGAGTGCTCACTACCATGCCCCAGGCCCTGGACTCAGTCCCCAGCAACACGCACACACACGCACACACGGAGGTAACATATTCAGTGACAAGGGCAGTGAGCAGAACTCCAAACCTTTCCCTTCACCAGAAGGAAACCACACCCACACACCGCCCTCCAAACCACAGGATGCAAGAAGTAAGCCCTCACCTACTTGCTAAGTCAGTAAATGCAAATCGAATAAAACACAGCTGCCAAGAAACAAAAACTTTCTGAAAAATCCAGTCACATTTGTATTGTGAGAAAAATGCACCAAAAACAAAGCTTCTCGTGAAAGCATGAGGAAAAGATGGAAAGGTGCCTCTGTGAAGGCCACCACCCCCAGAACAGGGCCTGGAGGGATCAAAGCAAAGATGTCCACAAGACAAGAAGACCACTTTCAAAAAGAGCCATCTGAGGACGATGCTCTAGTGCCATGGATGCAAGTGCCCAAATTCATAAACCGCCGATCCCAGGCTGCAAGGAACCAGAGGGAGGGGGCTGGCAGTGGACACATGCCTTTCATGGGAGTTGCTTGATCAGGAGGCTAGAAAGGAAGACAGAGGCCAAGAACTGAACATAGGCCACAAAAAAAATTTCAGAAAGATCCACACAATGACAATGAAATGAAAATCTTTCCCTCTAAACTCAAGTCAATAAAACAAAAGTGCTGGAGTTGGGGCTGAGGAGGCCCTGCCATGTGGACGGGTCTGGCTGATGGGAGCCTTGAACACCCAGACCAGCTCCTGAAACATCACCTTGCCCACACAGGGCAGCTGCAGCCCGCACCCTCCTCTCCTCCCCTGGGACCCGTCTCACCCTCCCTCCCAGGGCAAGGCCCACCAGCCTGATTCGGTGCTCCTCCTCCAGCACAAACAGGTTCTCCTTGTGGCAGTAGAAAGCAGCAGCATCCAGCAGGGCCTTCAGGGGCACCAGGCCCACCAGCTGCGAGCCCACCACTGGGAGGCTCAGTTCCTACCAGAGGCACAGGCAGCGTCGATGTCTGGGACAGGGACTCCAGAAGGTCAGGGAGGGCTGAGACACCTACCCCACCTACCCGCGCTTCTCTGCAGGTCTCCTCATAGACCGTATGCAGTGCAGTGACCTCAAAGTCCAGGAGGTTGGTGGACACCTGAGCCAGGTTCTTCTCATCCAGGTACCAGCCGATGCCCTGAACTTTTTTCAAACGTCCTGGCTGCAAAGAAAACACATTTCTCATCCTGGACTATGAAGCTCACCCCTGCCTGGCCCCTGCCAAGCCTTCCTGGGGCCTACTGCTAAGAGACACTCATGCCTGTGTCCCCCAGCAGGACAGCCGACAACAGTGGCTCTCCTCAATCTCTCCCTCTCTGCACTGGCAGAGGAAGGGCAGGATGAAGCCCTATTCATCACAGGGAAACTGAGGCCCCAAAGGTCAGAGGCCAAGACGAACATCCCAACCAGGAACTAAGCTCTGCCCACACTGTGACCTGGAGGCCTGCGGACACTGATGTGGGGGGCCAGCCAGGGTCCCAATTCTCAATCACCCAGCAGCCACTCTCTGTCGCTGGGTCCTTGGTATGAATCCACATAAGGAAGGGTCTTAGACCTTGCCTCTGGACAGGACATGAAGAAGGACTTGAGGGTCACTGTACTTGTTGTGTTTATGAACACCTGGTCTGCAGGTGCGTAGCCAGGAAGTTGGGCTCCCAGGACATCAGCTGCCTGGCAGGACCTGGGTCTCTGAGGCTTGGGGACAGACAGGTACAGGGTCCCCCACCTCCATTCACCAGGTGTGTCTATGTCACCTGTGTCTGACCAGGTCTCTGCAGCAATGATGCTCAAACTGGACACCACTGCCATGCAGACTTGGTGGACAAGCTCCCCAGGGGACCTAAGGGTTTATAGGGACTTCTGGGGGAACCTGGGAGACCATAAGGGATGTGGGGGTATCTGGGGCATATCTAGGGGACCTGGGACTGGAAGATAGCTGTTTTCTTGTCATACATAGACGCTGTAATGTTTTGACAGCAAGTGTGGCCCTGTCTACCTCCATGGAAAATGTCTGTTAAGGCAAGAGCCCCCCAACTTGAAACCCTGGAACCCTGACTCTTCTGGCCCCCTGGGCTAGGACACAGAGGTGGGTCAGTCAGCAGTCAGAGGCTGAGCCCCCATCTGACCATGCTGCCCCCTCACCCCTCTGTGCCTCCATCTGACACTCCCTGCACTAGCGTGTGCCTGAGGTCTCAGCCCCTGACCCTCTCCCCAGAGGCTGCTGGAGGATTCCCTGGGGGACTCGCCTGGTCCTTCCCCCGGCCCTGCTCCCGCAGGTTGAGGGCAATGCGGTGAGCCTGCTCCTTTGTACTGAGCAGATTGATGTTGAAGGCGATGAGGAACTTCCGAGCACCTGTGACGGTGGCACCCCAGCTGGGAACGAAGGAACTGGGGCCAAAGTCAGGCGCCCACTCAGCCTGCTGGAGCTGTGAGGACATTACCCTGGGTGAGGAAGGAGGTCCAGGCCCACCCACTCCTGCAGGGAGAGAGGGCAGGAAAGCCCCCTCCCACACCCAGCCACCTGTGGGGCCTCACCTTCTCAGGCAGGGCCTCGTACTCCCCAGCCCGAATGGCTGGCAGGGTTTGGCGACTGGCTGTCCTTGCCGCCTCACCGTAGAGATACACTGCAAGGAAACCCAGCTAATTAGGCCCTCAGCAGATGGAGGATCGGTGTCCCCAGTCCCCAAGGGACTAAGGCAGGGCAGCTCCCTCCAGCCTCAGTGGGGTGTAGTCCTCCTTTGGCTCCATCTTTCTGGGGAGAACCTCATGGGATAGGTGTGGGAGTCCTGACAAGGATAGTGTGGGGCCCCCTCAATCCTTGAGGGGATCTATTTATAAGAATTATGAAGGGACATATGGGAAGGACACTTATTCTTGTTTTAAAATGAATTTCATGGTGTAATAAACCTACCCACAGCAAAAAGTACATCGAGGAAAGAAAATAAAAGTCTTCCACTGACCCTCGTCTTTGCCGTACATAGGGACCCCAGTCTCGGACATCAGCTTATGTTCAAAGTGGCAAAAGGGCCTGGCTGGATTTAGTCCTGTGCTACCCACATGGGTCACCTCCCACGTGGTGACCTCCTCACCAGCCCCCGACTTTGTCCCCAGTTTGTGTCTATTTGTCCCATATCACTTTCTTGATTTGCTCAATTCCCCAAAGTGGAGTTGCTCTATTTTAGGAGGCATGAATCTTGCAAATCTTTTGACTCATCTCTGTGAACTGCTTTCCAGTGTGGCTAGCCTGTTCCCAGTTCCCAGGAGCACAGGCGGGAGACAAGCTAGGCTGCCCTCTGTTGTGGGTTCTGATGGCATTTATTTCATTATTGTTAGCGCTTTCCTGATTTGATGATTTGCTCTTGGGCAATTTTTGGATAATGATTTGCACTTTCTTTGTGTCTGTTTGTGATAATGGGGATTGACCCAAGCCCTTGAGCACTCTACCACTTGAGCTGTGTCCCCAGCCCTTCGGGGTTTTTTGTTTGGTTTTGAGATAAGGTCTCACTAACTTTGCAGAAGCTGGCCTCAAACTCACAATTTCTAGCTTTTACCTCCCGAGTAGCTGTGATTACAGATGTGTGCCACCTCACCTGGCTTGATCTGTACTTTTAAGAGGTGTCAAGGGCAGAGAACCAGGATATGCTGGAGGGGCTGGCAACCCCTTGCTGATGGGACTCAGAGGAGCCCCCAAGTAGGGTCTCCAGGGCACTCACCTGGCACATTCAACTCCTCCGCCAGCCGCTGACCAAAAGCCTGGGCACAGAGCACACAGTCGTCCATGCTGACACCCCTCACCGGGATGAAGGGGCAGACATCCAGGGCACCCATTCGAGGGTGCTCCCCTACAGGCGAAGAACAAGGACTTACTCAGACTCTCCCAGTGCAGCTTATGTCAGTAGACATACATGGACCATCCCCATGGCCAGCAAGAAGGAAGCCCTAGGACCTTGGGAAACAGCCTGACCTGAGCAGGTTGGCACCTTTGGCATAAACTTCTGCCTTCCTAAAAGTCACAACACAACCTTCCAAGGATCCAATGCTTGGCTTTCAGTGAGCCCTGGCCAGGCTAAAAGTGTCCAATAGTCTCCAGCTAGGCCAGCCCTCCCTCCCCTGGCAGCAGAGAATCCCACCATGTTCAGAGCACCGCTCTGTGGTGGAGGCAGCTGGGTCAGCAGCCTTCACTCCTTCCTGTCCCCCTGCCTGCAGCCTGATCATCGTCTTATCTGCTCTCCACTGTGACACTGTGAACCCCCTTCTGAGGCCTGATGGAGGCCCTGGCCTTTCGATCAGCTCCGTGTGTCCACTGACCTTTGACTGTACCTATCCCCGCCATTGCGTTGGTTTTGGGGCAGTTGACAGGTCGGTTTCCGGACACAGTGTCATCCCCTACCTTCCCCCAGGGCCTGCTCAGTCTTGTCAAGGATTTGGGGTGAGTAAGCTACTGCAAGTCATCTCAAGAACACTAAATCCAAGAAGGTAGGTGCCCACACCCTCTTGGGCAGCCAGTTTCCATGGGCTGCATTCTAGAAGACTCCCTTGACCTTCCCGACCTGGATCTGGGAACAAGTAGCCACAGGGGCCACAACAGGTACACCATGTGGCCACATCCAGGATAGCCTAACCCCACCCCAACCACAGTAGTCTCCAAGGGAGAAGCCTGCCGACCAGCCCTTTGGGACCTACATCCCAACCTGTGGCCAGGACCCACCTTGCTCCCAGGACACCTGGGGACAAGAGACATACTCAGCCAGGACACTCTGAGACGTGGGAGGCACCACCCACCTCCAGCTCCCCAAGCTGGCCTCACCCCTATGCCTGCTCATGTCGATGAGCCGTGAGGCCGTCCGCGCGGCACTGAGGGCCCCCTCAACCACACACTCTGGCTGCCCCACAAAGGTGTAGACGGTGCGGTTGGTGGAGGGTCCTGCATCCACGTCCAGCAGCACACAACCTGGGGTCTGAGCAATGGCTCGGGAAATGGCATCGACCACCTGGAGACAAAGGCCCAGAGCTGCACCACCTCAGGCCCCACTGGGAAGGAGCTTAGGAGCAGCTGTCCCTCCACTCACACACAGAGATGGGCCTAAAGGAGGCAGTGCTGGAGTTCAGGGTTCCCCCAAAGAGCAGAGCTCCTACCAAAGACATGCATAGGACAACCGGAAGACCCTATTGCAGGGGCCATGGGCACTCCAGGCCCAAGAATGGGTCCAGCAAAGAATGAAAAATAGGCACTTCCCCAGGGGAAGTGAGCCTGGGGCCCACTCCCATAGCCTAACTCCTACAGGGGGTGGCCAGGGCAGTAGTGACCTCTCAGGGGAGTGGCTGCAGCAAGGGGGTGACGAGAGGTGGGAAGGGCACAAGAGGCCTTGAGCAGAGGCTCAGGGCCCAAATCCTGCTCTGTGGTCCTCCAAGACTGCCTGACCTCTCTGATAATTGTACCTTATAAGGAGCTGCGGGGGTAGGGCATGAGTCACTGATGGAGATGACCTCCCCTGTGACCTCAAGCAGTCCTCTGGGTCCTTACAGAACCCCATTTTCATTGAGGCCAAGTGATTTGCCAAGGACCTCATCAGGAGCACCCCCAAAGACCCCAGGCCCACCACCAGCCCTGATGTCCCTCTCACCCCTATGTCAGTCACTGCAGAGCCCACGCCATTGGGGCTGGTGGGAGCCTTAGAGGGAGCCAGGTGGACTGTGGCTCTGCCTCCTCCCACACCAAACACTCCCTTCTCCTTCGCCTGAGCCCCCCATGCATGCTTCTCTAGTCTCACAGGGGTCTCACCTCCTGGTTGTTCCCCTCTGAGAAGTTGGGGACACACTCCACCAGCTGAGACATGGCCAGCACCTTGTTCCAGATGTCCTCTGGAGGAGCAGGAGAGGGACTCTGAGTGGCTTTCCAGTGGCCTCAAGACCTATATGCCTCCCCAAGCTGGGCTTCTCATTAACCAGCAAGTACAGGGAGGAGGGAGCTGGCGAGAGCAGGTGGTGACCCCGCAGGCTGGGGGGCGGGCTCCCCAGAAACAAGCACATGACCAAGGCCAAAGGGGCATGTGCCAAAGACCCCTGAAGGGGTGAAGTCCAGGCAGAGGCGTCAGGCCAGCTTGGGCTCAGTCCCAGCTTGGCCTAGGGATGCCAGTTGACCTGGGTGACTCTGTATTGCCTTCTGAGTGGCCTTCCTGGTGACTTCAGAGCCCATGTCTCTTCATGTAGGGCTCTAGACCTCAGGGATATGGGGAGGAGAGGCCATGCATGAGGCCCAGCATAGAACCTTGCCCTCAGCAGAAGTCTACTCAGCTTAGGCCTGCAGGAGAGGGGCAGGGGGCAGTGAGAACAAGACAAGTGTGAGTGCATGTGCACATAGGTATCTGTGTGTGAGAGACTGCTTGTGTGTGTACACATGGGTGGAGTGCATGTGACATGGGTGAATCGTGAGGGTGGGTGCAAGTGTGTGGGTGTGTTTGGGTATAAGTGGATATGAGGGCACGTGGGAGCAAGTGGGGCTATCAGTGTGCATGTACGTCAGGATGCATGCACACATGCAGATGGTGTGTGTGTGTGTGTGTGGATGTTGTACGTGAGCATGCTTGTGGATTTAGTTAACGTGACCATGTGGATAGGTACTGCTGTGTTCGAGTATGGATGTTAGTAAGTAGATGTGTGTATGGATGCTTGTGTGAACATGCATGTGCGGATATTGATGTATGTAGAGGTGGGTGTTGGTGTGTGTACCTATGGATGTTGGTTATGTGGGAGGATATGTGGAGGTTAATGTGTGTGCATGTGCTGGTTGGGTGCACAGATGTTGGTATGAGCATGTGTGTGGGTGTTGGTGTTGTGTGGTTTGCTGCATATGCCCACATGCTCCCTGAAGCAGGCAGGTGGAAGAAGCCCCAGGTCTGGAGGTCAGTCAAAGCTCCTCAGAAGTTCAGCAGTCCCAGTTGCACTCAGAAGGCCAGCTCCAGGCTCATCACCCCAGGCTCCAGGCTCCATCAGGCTCCAGGCTCCAGGCTGATGACTCCCGGATTCAGGCTCCATGCTAATGGTTCCAGCCTCCAGCCTAGAGGTTCTAGGCTCCAGGCCCACGGATCATGGCTCCAGGCTCAGACTCATGGCCCCAGGCGTTAGGCTCCCGGCTCCTGGCTCACTGGCTCCAGGCCATAAGTCCCAGGCTCCTGGCTGGCTCCCTGCTCCCAGCTCCACACCTTTGCCCTCTTGTGGTTCTTATTTTTAAACAGACCACACAGTGTCTGTTTAAAATATCCCATGAATCACATCCCCCTTCCAGGAGCAGAATCCCACACAGCCTTTGGGGCACTGTGGCTGAAGCTGTCACCCACAGCAGTACTGTGAGTGGGCATGGGGCCTTGGTAAGGAGATGCCCATGGACTTTGGGGACCCCAGCTCCCCTGTGGGAGGAGGGGGGTCCAGGTGGGCCCAGAGATCCTCAGAGGCTAGCGACAGGCAGTCTCCTGGCCAAGGCTGTGCGCCTGGAGGTGGGAGAGGACAGGTCTCTTGTGAACTGAACTGTAGCCCCCCAAATCCAGATATTGAAGCCCTAAACCTCGAGATATATAGGTATTTGGAAAGGGAACTTTTAAACAGGTGATTTAGTTAAAATGAGGTTACTAGGGTGAGCCTGAATCCCACATGACTGTATCTCATGACGATCAGAACAGACACAGGGGGACAACACTGAGGACACAGGGAGAAGATGCTGTCTGCAAGCCAAGGAGGGACCAGCCCTGTGACACCTTGACCTTGGACTTCTAGCCTCCAGTCTGCAAGATAACAGATATTGGTGGTCTAAGCCCTTGGCTTTGGTCTTGGTCACAGCAGACTGAATTTACTAATCTAGGGTCCCAAGGTCCTGGGCATCTGCGCTCTATGAGGCAGAGGACCAACAGACAGACTATCCACACCTCATCCTCATGCCCATGGCAGAGAGTGACTAAAGCCATGGCCAAGGCCCCAGACTGTCTGTGGGGCATGGGGTATCACCTGTCCGTTGAGAGAGACAGGAGTCAGGAGTCTGTGGCAGGAGCTGGTCTGTGTCTCCTGCATGACTAAAGCTGAGAACACAAGACAAGGATCAGTTCTCGGGGGCAGTTCTGAGATCATGAAAACTGGTAGGCACCTTCACTACCTCCCCAACAGATGATCTGAGAAGGTCCCACTGTCAATAGGATAAAGGGTCTCCCCTGGTGTCCAGATCAGAGTTTCCATTAACATTCTTCAGTAAGATATCCAGAACTCCCCATCCCAGGACTGGTCAGAAAATGCCCACAATGTGCCCCTGGCACACCTGGTAGTGCCAGAAAGTCAAGCACTACACCAAACCCCTCAAAAAGGGCGCCAAAACTGGAGCAACCTGAACAGCAGAAGTGAAGGGACATTGGGACCTGACCCAAATACAGAACAGATACCCAGGAGTCTATAAATGAATGACTGGATAATTAATGAGTGTGGCAAAGAGACAAATCTCCCATGCAGAGGTCCCCCAAATTGTTCACACAGAACTCAGCCCCCAGGCAGGGGAGCACAACCCCACTCTTCCAATGTGGGCCGTGGCCACAAGAAGCCAGGCCCATCCTGTACCCCCTCCATCTCCCCATCTACGGAACCTGGTGCCACCCTAGAACTCAGTAATTTGGGCACCATTGTCAAGACTTACTTAAATCCCCACATACCCCTACACCACTGTCCTGCTTCCTCTCTTTTTTATAGTGTAATCAGAAAAAATGAAGATCAGACTCAGCCTTCCCTACTGCACAGCCCACCAGAAGCTTTCTCATGTGACTGCAGCCTGGAAGAGAGTCTGTGAGGGGGATACCCAGCCCTGACCACTGGGCAGTCTCCCCAGCACAGGGATATCTCAGCACCCTCTACGTGAATGAGGGTAAGCCAGCGGGCACCACTGTAGCCAGAGCCCTGGGGCAACTCAGAGTGACCAAGAGTCTGGGGACACCAAGACCCTCTGGGGAACTGTTATGGTCAGAGCTGGAATGTCTGCAAAGGCCCATGTGTTGAAGGCTTGATCCCCAATGCAGTGTTCAAAAGTGGGACTTTGGGAGGTGAGTGAATCATGATGGCTCTGACCTGATTAGTACATTAACCCATTGGTGGTTCATCACTGAATGGTCTACTGGGAAGCAGTGGGAACTGTAGCAGCTGGGCCTAGTGGAAGGAAGTAGGTGGCTTAGGGGCGTGTGCTCAAAGGGTACCTCCTGTTCCCAACCCCTTGCTCTCTCTTTGCTTCAGCACCTACTACCACCATGATACAGCCAGCCCACCATGGACAAAAACCTCTGAAAACATGAGCCAAAATTAGTTAAGTTCATGTTCTTAGGTATTTTGTCACAATGGTGGAAAGCTGACTACACACAGGAGTATGTGATCAAGCCTTAGAATACAGCTCCTCAGAGCCTAGAGCCCAGGGGTCCAATGCCACCTTGCTCCCCAGACCTCCCTTTGATTAAATCATGCTTATTTTCTATTTTTTTATGAGGCTTTAACATCCTGGTGGTCTTACTGGTTCTAGAAACTACCTTTCCCAGAGCTAATTCTGAGAGACAGCAAATGCGCTCTTTCATTATGCAATCCAAGCAACCCAGAGCCTACATCTCCTGCCTGCTCCTCATTTAACTCTCACCCCCTGAGCCAATGGTTCCCCTGCCCCAGTCACCCAGGACAAAGTGCTGGTCAGTAGAGACCCCCAATCACCCAGCAGTTGGGCTACCCAATCCTATGCCTGCCCAAACTCCCCTCCCTGCCCTGCCATTCCTTCCTATGAAAACCACCACAAGGCCTCTCCCTCCTTCTGCCTCCTGACAGCCCAGGTGCTCTCCCATGTGGTCCTGCATGTTGTGACATAACCCTCCTCGTCTGCCATGCCTCCTCCTGAGATCTGTGAGCAATCAACTCTTCTTTCAAGCCAGTTGTCTCTGTGTCTATCATCCCACCACATCTGACTAAACAAATCCCAGGTACTGTTATCCCCCTTCCCTATTCCTTGGATGCCTCAGGTCCACAGGAAGCATCCAGTTGCTGGCACTGAGGGTATAGATCTGAGAACTACCTGGTTCAGACTGTGCAGCAGCAGCCCCAGGCCTGGGGTCTGGTAACCCTTTGCTTGGCTCCAGGTGCAGCCCCAGTGCGGATGTGGTCATGCTCACTGCCTGACTTCACCACCCCTAAAGGTGACCCTTCTCCCCAAGGAGGGGGTCAACAGCGGCGCTGAGCCAGAGCCTCTCAAGAGCTCAAGTTAGCTGGCGTTCCTCCGCTTAGTATTACATTTGGCCACCACTCCAGGACTAAGACCCACCTGCACCCACAGGAGTCTCAGAGCTAAATGCGGCTTCCAGCCAAAGTGTGCCCCACAAGGTGTTGCTCCGTGTTCTGGCTCTGAACCATTAGTGATAAGACAGGACCCCCACCCTCAGTGCTCAGAGAACAGTGCCAGGAACAGGCTGTGATGGCCGCCTGAGCCAGTCTCCTCCTAAATATTCAGAGCATCATTATCAGTCCAGGATTTGAATCTGGACTCCCTTCCACTGATTCCCTGAGGGCTGTGTCCCCTTGCTGCAGGGCTGGCTCTGGAGCAGGGCTGGCTCTGGAGCAGGGCCACACATGCAGGGAAGTGCCTGTGGGTAGGAATGGATGGGTGAACTCCCCAGCATCCCCCTCCCCAGTCCAAGGCACACTCTGTAGGTCTCCTGGGTTCCCCTGAGTAACCTCCATCAGTCACAGGGAGCCAGCTCCCCTTCCCATGTTGCTGCTTCTTCTTAGATTCCTGTCCCTGGGAAATGTCCTGCCCTGGGCTGGGCACAGCCTGCCACAGCTCTACTGTCAAAGTCCCGAAGCTCTCAAGTTTTGTTGCGTTTCTATTGCTTGTGGGGCAGAGCCGGCTCTGCATTTGGGGAAACCCAACAAGGGACAGGACTTGATGGGGTTTTTTTTTCCAAGGGAGGGAGTGGGGCTTCGGTGGATGACCCACCAACCTCTGAGGGAAGACAGGCTGCCGGTCCTGGAAGGAGCCCAGCGCCCCGCCAGAGCTCCAGAGCTGCAAACACTTATTGTCACCTCCTGCAGGCCCGCAGAGACCAAGGCGCTCTCCACGCCCTCAAAGAGCCAGAGGTAAGGCAGACAAGAAAACATGCTTTTAATAAGGCGACAGGAGCCCCGCGGCTGTGCGCGGCGGGCCCCGGCTGCAGGGCGCGCTGGGCGCCCAGGGCGAGCGCGCGGCGGGCCTCTCCCAGAGGCGGGCAGCGGGAACGGCTGCGCTGCGGAGGACGCGCTGGAGCACGGCGGCCCCCGGGTTTGGAACAAACACGTTTATTGCAGGAAGGGCGAGGCGAGAGCTCACCAGGCGAAGAGCGGCTTGCTGTCTTCCTTGGAGAGCTCGCACAGGCAGTTGAGCAGCAGCAGCGAGTCGCCCAGAAACTTGGGCGGCACGATGTCGATGACCAGCTTGCGCAGCGCAGCCGGGCTGCTGTGCAGCGGATTGGCGCGCAGGTCGGGCCGCTGCTTCAGGATGCCATAGGTGTTGATGAGGAACTCGCTGAACACCGGGTGCACCTCGCGGCTGTAGCCCAGCTTCTCCAGGCGCGCCGTCAGCGTCAGGTAGCGGTGCGTCAGCTCACGCAGCTTCTTCTCGTCCACCGAACCGTCCAGGGACTTGATGGAGGTCTGGAGGGCACAGGGTGATGGAGGCGCGGCTGGCAGCCCAGGTGCGTGTAGGGTGGAAGGGCAGGGCTGCCTAGATGGCTTAGAGGAAGAAGTCTTCAAGGCTTCAAAAGCCTTCAAGGAACTCAATGCTTGGACCCAAGTAGATGCCACCCGCGAGGACCCGCCAGTCCTGGGGATGTGCCCAGGCACCAGCCCTGTCCTGGGAACCCACCTGTTTGATCTTCTCCGGGATGTTGGACACTGTGAAGCCGTAGAGTCGCGTCACGCCTGGGAACACATAGGCCAGTATGCGCCGGTCCAGCTGGAAAGCGATCTCCCCAACTATGCGGCCGTCCTTCTCAGCGCTGGCAAAGCTCTGGATCTCTGTGCAGTGGGCCGAGCAGGCACAGACCCAGGTCAGCCCTCTGTGCTCCCCTCTGATTCCCCAAGGGTAAACTCAAATCTAAAAGAAAACTCCAATACTCAGAGCTAAAGAGAGACATTTCCCTTCCTGTCTGTTCTCAGAGTGATTCCTTGGGACCCTGGCACAGAGCTCCTTCCTGTGCCTGAGATTATGTAAACTGCTGTAGAAGGGAGTGAGCCGCTAGCCTGGTGAGGAAGGAGGGTCACTAGGGTCTGCCCTGGGCATAGAGCAGAGCTCTCCCCTGCTGGTGTGGGATGCTGACCTACCACCAAACCAGCTCAGGATGGCTCGATGCCCTCTGTCTGAGGACAGTAGGGAGTGTTGCCTAGCCATGCTTGTCCTGTCTGCAGCCTTGGCATCGCAGACTGACTGATATCTATTCTGTGACAAAGCTTGTTCCTCCCTGGTCTGACAGGCTACCAGGAGATTCTGTTTCCATTATTTTCCTGATGCTACTTGGAACACTTGGATCTCTTCCCCCCAGAAAAACATGCTTCCGAATGCCCCATCATTGAAGTCATCAAACAACACAATACCCTTCAAAAAAAAAAGTGTGCTCTTTGAAAAATAAGCCACATCTGAGTTTGAGAGATATCAAAGTGAGAAAATACCTGCCCTAGAGTTGGTAAAACACGCCATGAATCTGGCAAGGCCCAAGATAACTGGTCCCTACAGGGGGCCCCAAAGCCCCACCCTTCCTCTCAGCCCAATTTTCAAATTGCAAGAGCATAGGAACAAGCTGGGGCACCTGCTTCTCCAGTTGACTTCAAAAATTTTTTAAGAATGTAAGTCACATACTATAAGATTCGTACCTCCAGTGGAGGCAATTCTGTGGTTTTTAGTATGTTCACAGAGCTGTTCAACTATCAGCATTTCGTACTTTCAGACTATCTCATCACCTCAAAAGCAAACAAATCCCCATTCTCCTTTCCCCCAGCCCCTGGAAACCACCAATCTACCTCTGTCCATGTAGGTTTATGTATTCTGAACATTTCACATAAGTGGAACCACGCCATGTGTGTCCTTTGTTTGACTTCATTCACTCTGCACAGAGCATTCAAGGTCCATCCTTGTAGCACATGTCAACACTTCATTCCTGATGAGTAACGCTCTATCATATGGCTATGCTACATTTTATTTATTCATTCTCAGTCCATGGGCATTTGGGTTGTTTTTACTCTGAGGCCATTAGGAATGAGGCTGCATATATAAGTTTTTGTGTGGATGTATTTACCCAGGAAAGGGATTTCTGGGTCATTAGGTAACTCTTTAACCTCATGAGGAACTGCCAAGCCGTTTTCATAAGTGGCTTCCCCATTTAACATTCCCATCAGCAGTGCAGGGGAGCCGCAATTTCTCTGCCTCACATACTTATCACCCTTCTGTTTTATCCTAGACATCACATCACAGGACAAAACAGAACCTCACTGTGGCTCTCATCTGCATTTTGCTGACGGCTAGTGACACTGGGCATCTTTTCATGTACCTTCTTTGGAGAAATGGCTAGTCAAGTCCTTTGCCTGTATTTCTTTGGACAGGTCTCACTATGTAGCCCAGGTACCACCACGCCCAGAACTTTTAATTAGCTTGTCTTTTTACTGCTGAATTGTATATATTCTGGAACTAATCCTGTAACAAATACATGACTTACAAGTATTTCTCCCATTTTTTAGGGTAACTTTTCACTTTTCTGCTACTGCCCTTTGAGGCACAAAAGGTTTTTACCTTTGAAAATTTGTCTGTTATCTATTTTTCATTACCAAGGCTGGAGGAGTGGCTCAATCAGTAGAGTGCCTGCCTCATAAGTGTGAAGCCCTGAGTTCAAACCCCATAACCAAAAAAAAAAAAAAAAAAAAAATTCATTGCCAAATCCAAAGTCATGAAGATTTAACCCTACGTTCTTCTCTAGGAGTTTTATGGTTTGAGCTCTTTTAACTTTCCTGATTTGATTTTTGCTTGTGGAGTGAGGTAGGGGTCCACCTGCATCCTTTGCATGTATGTGTCTACTTGCTCCAGTGCCATTTGTCAAATATTATCCTTTCTCCACTGAATTGAGAAATGCATAAATGCATGAGCTTATTTCTGGACTCTTAATTCTTGTCCATTGACACGATCTCTGTCCTTTTGACAGTACTGCAGTCTTGAATACTGTAGATTAGTTAACAGTATGTTTTGAAATGGGAATGGGTGAACCCTCCAATTTTGTTCACCATTTCAAAATTGTTTTACCTATTCTAGATCCCTTATATCTCCATGTGAATTGAAGTTTCAGCTTGTCAACTGTTGCAAGGAAGCCAGCTATAATTTTGATAGGGTTGTGTTGATCTATTGGTTATTATTGATATTGGTTGTTAAACAAAATTAAGCTTTCTAAGCCATGAACACAAGATTTTTTTCTATTTATTTAAGTCTTATTTCAACAATAGTTTACAGTTTTCATTGTAATTATTTCCCAAGATTTTGCAAGGCTGTAGAAAGTACCCAGGAAATAAAATGAGAACTAGCCCTAGAGCACAAAAGCACACAGGGCAATGCAGGCATACAGATACAGGGTACATACTTCCCTTTCTATATTTATCTCATTGGGGTCCATCTCCCTCCTCTGTCCCACAGGATTAACTACGCAAATTAACCACACTACACCTGAGATGTTCTAAACTCACTCCCAGTCCAACTGAAACTCTCTAAGATTCAGCCAAAAAACTATTCTTTGAAGAAAGAAATCAGCACAATTACTACACCTCTATGTAGACTTAACAGGGAAAAACAGAAAGAAGACAAAAGTTACTGCTATCAGAAACTAGGGATGACACCTCTCTAATGATATCAGTGGGACAATTAGAAAATATTAGGAATAACTTTATGCAAAATATTTGACTTACCTGGATGAAATGAACCACTTCCTTAAAAGACACAAACTACCCAAGCTCACTCAAGAAGATATGAAGAAACAGATCATTTGAATAACCTTGTATTGATAAATGGAATTTTTATGAAGAAAACATTCTTACAGATAAAAGTCCAGGTGCAGGTGGTTTTAGCAGTAAATTCCACCAACATTTAATGAATTAATTGAACAAATTTGGCAGGAACTCATCCAGACAATTAGGATGGGAAATTTTTTTATCTCATTCTTTGAGGCCAACAATCTGATACCAAAACCAAAAATTGACATTCATTACAAGACATACAAATTCTCTTATAAACTGCACAAATTATTCCTAAAAGCTTAGCAATTAATTTAATATGATGCAGCATGATCAAATGAGGTTTATCTCAAGAATGCAAGGTTGGTTTAATCATATACTATAGTTTGGATGGGTATCCCCAATGCAAAGGCTTGGTCCCAGGATGGTAGTACTGGAAGGTGCTGTGGACCTTTAAGAAGTGGAGTCTGAAGCTGAAGGGAGAACACTAACAGGAGGGGAGGGTAAAAGAAGGAAGTTAAAAAGGTGAATATGGTTGATGTACTTTCTATATGAGAATGAATATAGAATATGTAAACCTGTTGAAATCACCATAAGAAGGGGACTAAGATAGAAAGGAGAAAAATAGAGGGGATGAACCAGTTCAGGATATAATACATATATACATGGAAATGTCATAACGAAACTCCTTGTTTAGGTATCTTAAACAAACAAAACTGTCTTTTTCAAAAACAAAGGACAGGAAGGTAAAACAGGTTCTGCCTGGGGGGATGATACCAGTGGGAGAGGGGGAAGATATAAGGAAAGGGTGAAGGACAGCGAATATGGTGGGAATATTATGTATTCATCTATGAAAATGGAAAAATCAGACCTGTTGAAACTATTCTCAGGGAGATAAAGGAGAATGATAGGGTGAATTTAACTAAGATACCTTGTAAGAACTTTTACAAGTGTCACAATGCACCCCCAGTATAACAATAATATGCTAGTAAAAATAAATTTTAAATTTAAGAAAGAAGTGGGGTCTGGTGGTAAGTCACTAGCTCATTGGATGTTGCCCTACAGGGCATGGGGAGCCCGGGCCTCTCTGGCTGTCTGCTTCCTGGCTCAGGATGTACCATCCTCGCCAGCAGCTCAAACACAGGAAACCACCTGATCTTGGATGTGAACCTCCAGAATCATGAGCTGAAATAAACCTCTCTTTATTTCATAAGTAGCCTGTGTCTGGTTTTCATTGTAATGATGCAAAGCTGACTAATATACCATATTAACACACTACAAATGAAAACCAAATGTTTGCTTCAATAAGCTGGGCACAGGTGGCTCACACCTGTAATCCCAGCTACTCAGAAGGCAGAGATCAGGAGGATCATGGTTTCAAGTCAGCCAGAGCAAGTAGTTCACAAGACCCTATCTCAAAAAACCCTATCACAAAAAATTGGGCTGGTGGAGTGGCTCAAGGTGAAGGCCCTGAGTTCAAGCCCCAGTACTGAAAAAAAAAAAAGTTTACTTCAACAGATGATGAAAAGGCACTTGACAAAATCTAACATCCATTCATGATAAGTCAGCAAACTCAAAATCAAAGGGAGCGTCTTCACCCTGATGAAGGGTGTCTACAAAAGCCTTAGCATCAGACTTCATGGTGACAGACGTGAAAGTCTTCCCCCTGCTCAGCAAAAGATGAGGACGTTCGCTGTCCCCACTTCCACTCAACATTGGTCTACCGCCCCAACCAGTGCAATAAGATGAGAAAAAGAAATAAAGGCATATGAATTAAAAATATAAGAACTGTCAAACAACACAAGCATATGTACCAAATCCTAAGGATCCACCAAAAAACAGCTACCAGAAGAAATAAATGCATTTAGTAGCATTGCAAGATATAAAGTTGTATGAGTAAGGGTTTTCTAGAGAATCAGAACCAACAAGATGTGTGTGAAGAGGGATTTATTTTAGGAATTGGTCACATGATTATGAAGACTCACAAGTCCTGAGAGCTGCAGTTGACAAGCTGAAAGCCAGGACAGCCAATGGAGTAGATATAATTCCTATCCAAGGGTCAGCAGCCTTGAGACCCGGACAGAGGGTTCTTGACTGAAGGCAGCCAGGCAGGAGGAGTTATCTCTCATTCAGGCCTCCAGCTGACTGGATGAGACCTAACCACACTAGGGAGAGCAATCTCCTTTACCCAGACTAGAAATTTACATGTTAATCTCATGCAAAAACATCCTCACAGGCACACCTGCAGCAATGCGTAGCCAAATGTTTGGGTGTCTGTGGCCCAGTCAAGTTGACACATAAAAGTGACTATTGTATGGGTTGATATCCAAAAATCAGTTGTTATTGTGAACTAGAATCAAGTGATAGAAACTGATATTGGTAAAAATAACACCTATGAGCGCACCAAAATATGAAATACTTAAGTAAACTTCACAAAATGGACAGGAAAGACTTGCACATAAAGAACTATAAACATTGGTGAGGACTGTTACAGACCTAAATAAACAGATACACAGTGCTCATTACAAAGGGGCCATTTCTCTGGACCTGTTAACCCACAGACATTTCTGTAGAAATGTCTGATTTGAAAATTTATATGGAAATGTGAAGGACCTAGAACAGCCGGCACTTGACTTACAGTCTTACATCAACCCACAGTAATCCAGTATAGGTGACTGACTGATGGATAAATGGAGCCACAAGGAGGGTCCAGAAACAGACTCACATATAGGTGGACAATCGCTGCTCAGGGTGCCCAGGTGGCTCAGTGGGAAGGGTCTTTTAGACATTGGTGCTAGGGCAGTGGATTCTACATGCAAACCACAGTGGACAAAAACAACTTGGAACTGACTACAGTCCTGAATTTTAAAAGCTGCAAAGCTTCTACAGGAATATAGGAGAGAATCTTTGTGACCCTGCATTTGGCAAAGACTTCCTTGGACACAAAAATTTCAAACTACTAAAGAAAAAGATCAATAAATTGAGCTTGTCAAATTCAAGTTTTTCTCCCCCCAAAATATTATGAAAATGGAAAGCCTCTGAGTGGAAGGCCATGTCTGCAAAACATATACCCCCAGAGGACTTGTATCCAGAATATATAAAGAACTCTTGCACTCAACAAGACAAGCAATTCTGTTTTCCTAAACAGTGAGGACAGACAGCCATGGAGCTGCCCAACCCAGCTCTGCTCCCCATTCAATGCCACTGGAGAAGCTGGACGTGGTCAGGTCACCCAGATGTGTCTCCTCCACCCAGGGCCACCTGCCACACACCATACCATTGAGGTAGTAGCTCCTCCTGCTCCTGTCCCCGGTGGGCAGGCTGCTCTCTGAGAAGCACACCTTCTTAGACCGCACCATTTCCCTGGGCTCCAGCAGTGTCTTCTCTGTCAGTGGGTCCTGCAGGGGGCTCAGGAGCGGGGACAGCTTCCTGTCGGCACCACGAGCACACAGGTCAGGGGGATTCAGGAAGGCCTTAAATGGTGCCTGGGAGGAGGTTGCACAGCCTGGGGAGGCTTCGTCCTCACTGGAGAGAGGTGCATGTGAGCACAGGAGGTCTTCCAGGGAGGATGTCTGCAGCTGGGAGGGTGTGTCGGTGACACTGGGAAACCTTCCAAAATCTGCACCTGGGGTGGGAGGAAAAGGACAGGAAGTCAGGCTGGAGGTCCTCAGACATCCCTAGATGTGCAGAAAACATGCAGGTGAACACTGTTGCATTCAACCCCCAGTTGTGGCCCTGGCTGTCATTTTCCCTGCTGATGGAGAGAAAGCACCTGCCTCATGGTCTCAGGTACAAAGAGCCTGAGTTCTCACGCCATACTCACTGGATTGACTTCTACATGCCTTTTTAATTTTCCATAAATGGTATAATTCTATACACTTATTCAGCATGACTTTCTGAGATTTATCCCTGTCCAGCTACTTGGGAGTCACCTGGTTCATCTACCTGCTTCTCAGCCCATGCTCATCCAGTGAACTTTTATCCATTTTCCTTATAAAAGCAAAGCTGTGGCTGGGCGTGGTAGAACATTTGCTAGCTTGTGCAAGGCACTGGCTGGATCCCAGCACCACTGTGGTCAGCCTCTCTGGATGTGCCTCCTTGCTCACAGGCAGTGTCCTTTGAGGACATCTAGGGTGGGGTGTGTGGGCTTGGTTATCTTGTTTTCCACAACTGCAGGGGCAGCCTATGGCCATGGGGCATAGACATCACACCTGCCAGATGTAACTTGTATCTTCTTTGTGGCTTAGGAAGTCCTTTTCTACACCCATGTCAGGAATAAATTCTAGCAATAAAGCAAATAAACACTGAGAAACAGTGTTTTTTAAAAATTCCTATAAAAAAATTGCATCTTCACAAATGCATATGCAGGTGCCAACTATTTGGCCCCTAAAAATGTTTTCCAAGAAAAAAAAACATTCAAAAGAAGACTCACAAGTGAAATGCTACCTCCTGTCTACCATTGCAGGGGCCATTGGTCCTCAAGGGCCTCACCATCCCCACCCACTGTACACTACCAAAGAACATTATGTGCAACTGTACTCCAACTGGAAATGCCAATAAAAGAAGTGCTCTTCCAGGAAATTATTGTTAAATGACTCCGTAAGATGTAGGAAAACAAGCCGGGTGCCAATGGCTCATGCCTGCAATCCTAGCACTTGGGAGGCTGAGATTGGGAGGACTACAGTTGGAGGCCAGCCCCGGCAAATAGTTCTCAAGACATCCATCTCCAAAATAATCAGAGCAAAATGGACTGGAGGTTGGTTCAAGTGGTAGAGCACTTGTTTTTGCAAGTGCAAAGTCCTGAGTTCAAACCCCAGTCTGATCAAAAAATAAAGGAAGGAAGAGGAGGAGGAGAAGGAGGAGGGAGGGAGGGAGAGGGGAGGGAGAGAGAGAGAAAGAAAGAAAGAGAGAAAGAGAGAGAAAGAGAGAGAGAGAGAGAAGAGAAAGAAAGAAAGAAAGAAAGAAAGAAAGAAAGAAAGAAAGAAAGAAAGAAAGAAAGAAAGAAAGAAAAGAAAAGAAAAGAAATAGAAAACTTAAATGGGCCAATAACCAAAGAAGAAAAATGTAAAAGTTAGAATCACTCCCCAGAGGGCTGTAGGTCCAGGTAGTCTGTGATGAGCTCCTTTAAGTTCCCCAACAATTCATAATCCCTACCATATAAATAAGGTGGGAACACTGAAAAAGTAGTAACAAAAGATGCTTAATTAAGGTTAATGATTTGTTACAATTCTGTTATCAAATTTCCACAAAAATAGTCTCCAGCAAGAAAAATATGGTCTGGCTTCACACAGAAGTAGATTAAGGGTCCAAAAAAAACAAAATCACATAAAACCCCATCAGAGTACACTAAGACAGACAGGAAGAGGCAGCAATGTTGCAGAACCCAGCAGCCAAGCAGCATGAGATTCCCTAGACAGAGAAGCCAAGGGCCCCTCACCAACACAGAAATAGCTCATGAAAATCAACAAAATGAGCCCTTTCTCAGGGGCTTCTTATTCTTCAAAAATAAGAACTAGACGGGGCGTGGTGACTCACATCTGTAATCCCAGATGCTCTGGAGGAGACAGAGATTGGGAGAATCACTGTTTGAGACCAGCCTGGGTAAAAAGTTAGCAAGACTCCCCCATCTCAACCAATAAACCAGGTGTGGTGGTGCATACCTGTGATCTCCACTATAAGGGAGACTGTGGGTAGAAGCATCACAGTGACAGGCCAGCCTGAGAAAAACCACAAGATGCTCCCTGAAAAAATAACTAAACTAAAAATAACTAAACCTGCCTAGCAAGTGTGAAGCCCTGAGTTCAAACTCAGTACCGCAAAAAATAACTGAATAAACAAAAGTAAGAACTGAGAGGATTCTTCCTCTGTGGCCAGCCTGTGTGTCCCTCCCTACCTGGGCAGATGGGCCATCAGTCACTGCCCACAGCCCACCAGGCACAGGCCATAGCCTCTCTGCCTCCCACAAAAGTCAAGCTGAAACCAGTTTCTGAGCACTTAGAATGACCACTTGTGCACACTTCAACCGTGGAATGAGAACAAGTAAGAGAAAGAAGTGGAACACAGAACACAATAGTTTGGTAGAATGGCTGGATAAAGGAAGATGCTCAAAAAATAGCGGCTTTCAGCATGCCAGCCCTGAGCACTCTGAAGGAGCAGTGGATAAGGACCTCGCCCACAGCTGCAGCAAGTCACACACAGTGGCCGTCAGTTTATGTGAAAGGAAGGTAGAAGTTGTCAGAGTAATCCTTGCTGCTCAGAAGGCAGAGATTAGGAGGATCAAGGTTTGAAGCTGGCCCAGGCAAATAGTTCGAGAGACCCTGTCTAGAAAAAACCTTCACAAAAAAAAGTGTTGGTGGAGTGGCTCGAGGTGTAGGCCCTGAGTTCAAGCCCCAGTACAGAAAGAAAAGGATGGAGTCACTCACTCAAGTCAACCTTCGCAAGAAGATAAAGTCCAAAGTTTGTGAAGGAAGCATTCTCAGACACAACTGCCCAATAACTATCTGTCATTTCCAAATAAATATTATTCTCTGGAGAATCGCTCTGTTTTGTATTATCATTTACTAGGACTATAAGCCTAACAATGTTAAAGATACATGTGAGAGAAACAGCTAAAAAAGATTCACAAGCCAGAATAGCTTAGCATAACTGCCCTAACGATGCAGTGTGAAACTACCCTGAGGATATTTGGAAGAATAAAGAGCTAAGAATACCATTGTGCCTTCTGAATAAATGAGTCTGCTTTTTAAAAATATTAATCCTAAGGAAATGACCCTAAATTGAAAAAAAAAAAAAAAACTTTTTGCAATGTAATTTACCGCAGGGGGAAAAAAGAACTTTAATTTCAAAAGGAAGAGAGTTCGTCAAATTGTGGTTTATTTGACTGGAATATTGGGTGGCCATTTTAAAATCTATTTATAACACAAGGATACTCATATATTGATGCTACAGAAGGTTGTGCTTGGAGAATACTTGCAACCACTCAACAATCATCTGATATTCACCCATCAACAGTAAGGATGGGGTGAGCAGTGGAGGACCCCCAAGCTGACAGTCCCACAACAGTGACCGTGGGGCTCTGGATAAGCCCTCCAGGCCCTGGGGAGCAGCCTCCAGTGATGCTCAATGGACCAGGATGACCCAGAAGAGAGCAAGGAGTGGGACAGCTCAGGAGAGCCAGGGAGGCTGCTGCCCCTCTGTTCCTTTTGAGAATAGGTGTCACAGCTGGGTGTGGTGGCACACGCCTGTGGGAGCCAGCACTCAGGAGGCTGAGGAAGCAGGATCAAGAGTTTGAGGCTAGCCTGGGGTACATAGCAAGTTCCTGTCTCAAGAAAAAAAAAAAGTGTGTGTCACTGGCTCTCAAACTCAAGTGAAGTTAGGACCTGAGAGGCCTTGCTCGTCGGTCTGATGGGGATGTTTGTGATGCTGAATGAAGAGACCATACTGGTAGTGTCCTCCTCTACAGTGGGGCACATGCTGCAGCATTTGGTGTCTGTTCCAACATTTCCAAATCACACCGTCTTTGACTCAAAGAATCCACACTCAGGGATTTACCTGGCACAAGGTCACAGAGGTGTGAGTGTGGCTACTCACAATAGCACCATCTGTGGTCACAGAGAAGCAGTAATGGTGTCACCTATCGTGGGGCCCAGCTGAAGATCAAGTGTTAAAGTGCATGGATAGACACAGAAGAGGACCGACAGGCAATGATAGAGACATGGATGGTGAAGGGGGAAGTCAAGTAGCAGGAGACCATAATCTTGTTTAGGTAAACCAGAAAGATACACATTTACACTTGGGAACAGCCATCAGAAGTTCTGGAGAGAAATGCAGGAAAATGTGGGGTGGGATGGATCCAGGAGGCACAGGAGAGCCTTAAGGATTAAGTCAACCACCGCACATGTTGCTGGATACCTTAGAAAACAGGCTTTTGAAGCACACATCTTGTTTTGAAGACAGATGATAAGGGACTCTTGGAAACATCCAAACCATTGCAATGATTCCTTTCCAAGTAAAACCTGTTGTGCAAGCACTTGGCACTGGACAGTCCCCAAGCCCACGTTGTGCTGCTGCTGGGGATGATCTTTCTCCTGTGCCTGCAAGTGGCTGAGATGGGGCCAGGACTGAATGTACTGTCAGGAGCCCCAGGCTTCTTCCCACACGTGCATCTAGCCCAGACATGGAGGAATGACATGGCAGAAGTAGGAGGCTGGCCCTGTCTGGACCCCTCCTGTGCATATCCAGAGCTGAGCTGACTCCTCCCTGACACTTGACAGACCTGGCCAAAGCCCAAGACCCACTGACCCCACACTGATCTTGTCCCATGCCTGCGGCTGGGGCTCAAGGCTCTTTGGGAAAGCTTGGTGGCCTCAGGCTGGGGCCTGAGGTCTGGGCGTCCTGGAAGTAGCCCAAGGGTGGGGGTACTGGCCACAGTTTGGAAGTATAGCCCTTGCTTTGAACCCCATCAGGCAGTACAAGACAGCCTCTGACAGCGTCAGCATCAATAAGACCTAGGGACAAGTGCCCTGCAGCCACTACAAAATGCAGTGGCCCAAGTGCCTAGAACTTGGCACCAACAGTGCAGGATATGAAACATGGCTCAATGGTGTGACAAGGGACAATATGATTGTTCCTCCATTACATGTCCTGCATCCTCTTAGGCCTTGTCAGTGACACTATCTCCATCCCCTACCCTGAAAGCCTGTGAGAAGCCCCTGACTGTTCAAGATTCCTCAGCAAGGGTCGCCTTGGGACTGAAGGAGTGGACACCTGGTGAGGGTCCCCTGGCACCCCAGAGCTTTGCACTCACCAGCCCCATGCAGGGGCCCAGTGGGCTCTCTGCAGAGCTGAGGTGTACAATGCCTTTCCAGTGCTGGCTGTGTTTAGAGGATGATAGCAGACATCCAAAGAGGACTTTGGGAAGTGACCACGCCAAATGCAGGTCCCCAGAGCCTCGCCTTGACTGGTAAGCAGCTGAGTTTCAGGGCATCACACAGGACTTGGCCATAGTTTGACTACCTCCACAGGGTACAGGCCTATGTCACTGAGGACTGGGTAGTCTGGGACTGGTCTGTTCCCACCCTGGCCAGGTAGTGGCATGACCACCACATCCAGTGGGAGACTGGGTCATGGGAATTCTCCAGCAGTTGTAATTGAGAGTTCTGCTCTGTCTACCATCCAATCAAAGGCCAAGGTCACATCCATCAGCCATACTCCAAATCATACTACTATGCATGAAAAGGAAATTTTTCATAAAAACCCTTAAGACAACTACCTGATTTTGCAGAAAGTAACCAAACCCTATTTTTCTTATTTCTAAAAAAAGCTGTAAGGGTCGGGCCCCAGTGGCTCACACCTGTAATCCTAGCTACTCAGGAGGCAGAGATCAGGAGGATCATGGTTCAAAGCCAGCTTGGAAAAATAGTTGTGTGAGATCCTATCTCAAAAAAACCCTTCACAAAAAAGGGCTGATGGGAGTGGCTCAAGGTGTAGCCCTGAGTTCAAGCCCCAGTAATTAAAAAAAAAAAAAAGCCATAAGGGCTGGAGGTATGACTCAAGGCACGCAATGTGTGTGGCTCAGGTGGTAGAGTACCTGCCTAGCAAGTGCAAGACCTTGAGTTCAAACCTCAGTACTACCAAAAAAGAAAAAAAAGAGCTAGCACCAGTGGCTCACATCTATAATTTGTAAGTCTAGCTACTTAGGAGGCTGAGATCAGGAGGATCATGGTTTGAGGCCAACCTGGGCAAATACCTCAACAGACTCCATTTGCAAAATAACAAGAACAATGGGGACAGGGGGAGAGAGATAGAGGGGGTAAATCTAGCTAAGATATATTGAAGGCACTTTGTAAATGTCACAATGTATCCCCAATACAATTATAATATGCTAATAAATCAAGAAAAGAGAAAAAGGAATAATGCTTAGTACAGAGCCCAGCATAAAAAGACATGTTCAGCTGGGCTGGACACCGGTGGCTCATGCCTGTAATCCTAGCTACTTAGGAGGCAGAGATTAGGAGGATTGAGGTTTGAAGCCAGCCTGGACAAATAGTTTGTGAGACCCTAAAAAAACCCATTAAAAAAAAAAGGCTGGTGGAATGGCTCAGGGTGTAAACCCCAAGTTCAAGCCCCAGTGTCCCAAAGAATAAGATATGCTCAGCAATTATTAGCTAATATTATGCAGCACAGTGAATCTGATTGCTTTGGGAAAAGAAATAACCAGAGCAAAATGGACTTGAGGTGTGGCTCCAGCAGTAGAGCACCTGTTTTGCAAGCATGAAGCCCTGAGTTCAAACCCCGGCACCGCCACCCCTAAAAAAAAAAAAAAAAAGAAAAAATTCTGATCTACCATCTGCAGTGGAAGCACCACCAAGATGGATTTTTGTAAAAACCCTTAAGGGGAAGACCCTCCTCACTATAGAAAATTCAAAGCCAAGATACAGGATATGGAAGGAATTCCTCCTGATCTGCAAGACACTGATCTTTGCTGGGAAGCAACTGGAAGACGCACTTTGCCCGACTGCAACATTCAAAAGGAGTCCACCCTTCATCTGGTGTTGAGACTTCATAGTGGTGCTAAGAAAGAAAGAAGTCTTATACCACTATCCCAAAAAAATAAGCAAATGGCTGTCCTGAAATACAATAAGGTGGATGAAAATGGAAAAATCTGTCATGTGAGTGCCTTCAGATGAATGTGGTGCTGGAGTTTTTATGGCCAGCTACTTCAACAGATATTATTGTGGCAAGTGTTGTCTGACTTACTGCTTCAACAAGCCATAGGATAAGTAATTATGTGCAGATTAATAAAACATATGGACTAAAAGTAAAAAAGCCACAGAAGGTTGGAGTGGACACCATCTGCGAAAACAATCACAGCATCACAGTCTCTTCAACCCTCTCACCCCCAAGAGGTGATGTCAGGGCCTCCCTCTCCAGAGGGTGCTGGCCACTGGGAGCCAAACTCAGCCTTGTGACTTACTTTGAGCTATGGTGAGCGAGAGGATGGGACACAGCAGAGGCATGGAGCTCACAATGGTGTGCACATCTATGAGATGAACAAACCAGGTTAGCCACCATCCCAGGAGGGGAAGACACATGTACGGCAGGGCCAAGCCTAGCCCAGCGGAGCTGACCTCAGTGGGCCTGATTTAAGCCACTTGGCAGCACTGGACACACCTCTGACAACCACCTGCTAGGGTGGGTAGCCCACACCTCCCATCCTCCAGGTATGGACTGGAGATAGAGAGAGGAGAAAGGCTTCCCTAGGACACACCGCAGGTCGGCTAGTCGGCCTGAAGGCAAGGGAGGTCCCCTGGCTCTGTCACCCTCACTAGGCCAGGCTTATGTCTCACCTCCATTCCCCGGGGAGCAGGCCTCGGGGTAGGTGGAGGCCTTGGGGAAGAGGAGTTCCCGGCCTGGGCGACCACAGCTCTCCTGACAGCTCTCACTGAGCAGCCGCTTCAGCATCTGGTTTTCCTTCAGGAGGCGCACCTGTTTCTTCAGGTCTGCGTTCTCGCTCATGAGCCTGCTCATCAGCTCGCTCCCCTCGGCCATGGCGTCTTCAGGTGCTCACGTGTGGGCCTGCGGCCCCATGGAGATGGAAACACAGAGCCCACAGACCCCAAGAAACTGCCCAAGACCACAGAGTTCCACGCTGCCTGGCCTTCCACAGCCTTGTGATGTCGCCACCCTTAAAGAGGCAGCACCATGGCACCAGCATCCATCTGCCCTGGACCTACAGACACCAGACAAATGCAGGCCAGTCTGGGCCAGGCAATGCAGCAGAGAAATCAGAGGCGATGGAACATGCAGGCAAACACCTTATAAATCACTGCAAGAGGGATCCTGAGTGTGAAGGACATGAGGAAGGGTAGTGGGACATGGAGGAGGGCCAAACTTCAGGTGGAGTGCTGAGCTCCCAGGAGGCAGTCAAGTAGTGGGGACAGTAGGACCCAAGACCCCAAGGCCAGACCTGCGGGCACCCTCCAGGAGCAGCCAGAATACTGTAGTGGGTGGGAATGCATGAGATTGTCTGTTGTATGGAGTCCTCAGACTGCAGTGGACACTCTGTCTTCACCCTGGGTGACATATGGGGCTACTGTTCCTGTGGCATGTGCTTATGAGAGGTGGACCCAGTGCCATTTCTTGAATCCAAAGAGTCAAAGGGGTCCCCCAGAATCTACATGGCATCTGGCTCACCCTTGAGGAAGGGGCAGTGAGGACAGAGGAAGAGACCAGCCCTGGGCAGCCCCATAGCCCCAGGGAGCTGGGGGGAGGGGAGCTCTGATGGGGATGGAAGTTTAGGCCACCTACTGACCACATCCCTCTCACAAAAAGGCTGGAGGCAGCACATCTGTATCCACCACTTGGAGTGGTGACACCACATTACTCACTATCTGCTACTGCCTGAGGCATGGAGGAGGTCCTCTGTCATGTGAGAACAGTGGTGTTTCAAGTCCCACTGGAGTTGGTCTCAGTTGTTGTAGTATGACTGCCCAGAAGCCCACCCAGCATCTGCTTTTCCACTGCAGGGAAGTGAGTGAGCTGCTTCTTCTAGCTCAAAGGCCTTGCTTTACTGGCAGCGATTTCTTTTGTTTGTTTGTTTGTTTTTTTATTTATTCATTTATTCATATATGCATACATTGTTTGGGCCATCTCTCCCCTCTGCCCCCTCCCTCTCCCCTAAGCCCCTCACTTCCAGGCCAAACCTATTCTAGTTTTCCCTCTTCTCCAATTTTGTTGAAGAGAAAACATAAGCAATAAGGAAGACATAGCATTTCTGGTAGTTTGAGATAAGGATAGCTATACAGATTCCTAGCACTGCTTCCACGCACATGTGTATCACAACTTGAATTGATTCATCTCTACCAGACCTCTTCACTACTTCCCGGTCACCTTCCCATAGTGACCTCTGTTGTTTTAAGGTTACTATATTAGCTCCTTGCAATGGGCACATCAAACACTTTCAAGTTTGGGTTTCCTACCTTTCCCTATTCCTCCTGTGTGTGTCCTCCCCTTAGCGTGTGACCCATGTCCAATAATATTACTGCATTTGTTTTAGGTCTAAGGTCCACATATGAGGGAGAACATACGATTTTTGGCCTTCTGAGCCTGGCTAACTTTGCTTAAGATGATGTTCTCCAGTTCCATCCACTTACTTGTGAATGACAAGATTTCATTCTTCTTCATGGCTGAGTAAAATTCCATTGTGTATAAATGGCACATTTTCTTAATCCACTTGTCAGTGGCGGGGCATCTTAGCTGTTTCCATAGCTTGGCTATTGTGAATAGCGCTGCAATAAACATGGGTGTGCAGGTGCCTTTGGAATAACCTGAGTCACATTCCTTTGGGTAGATCCCTAGGAGTGGGATTACTGGCAGCAATTTCTAATTCAATTATTTTTCTTTTTTCCTTGAGATAGGATCTTGCTATATAGCCCAGGCTGGCCTCCAACTCACAATCTTCCTGCCTCAGCCAGAGAGTACATGTCTATAGATATGTGTCATCACACCTGACTTGTAATTCAACTTTTTAAATGCTACTTAGCTGCTCTACCCCTTCTCAGCCCATTTTGATAACAACTGTCTTTCAAGGGTCTTGTTTATTCTTGCAAGTTGTGGAATACTGGCCTTAAGTAGTTTACGACACTCCCTTATCCATCTGCAGTCACCCCTCCAAGGACAAGTTGATCCAGCCAAGGCAGGAAAACACAAAGGAATGTGGAAGCAGCATTAATGGGTTTCTTTGACAGGGACACAGCAAGCAGGGCAAGTAGGAGCTATGGATCCAGAAAAGGGGACAGGTTTGATGGGCAGGCTAGTGCAGCATCTTGGGAAAGCAAGGTGTTCAAAGGATCCCTAGAGTAGTGCCCTTTTTATATCTGGTACAGTTGCTTCCTTTTTTAAACTTGATGAGACCAGAGGCTTGTTAATCTCGTTAATGCTTAAAAAAAAAAAAAGAATTAGGGCCTTGCACTTGCTTCACAACTTGAGCCACGCCCCCAGCCTTATTGTGAATCTTTTAAAGCACCAACTCTTGGTTTCACTGATTCCCTTTATGTTTGGTTTTTTATTGCATTTGACTTATTTTCTTCCTTGGCTTATTCCCTTCCTTCCATTTATTTGGGTTTTACACTTCCTAAGACGGAACTTAAATCATTTAAGCCTACCTTACTTATTCACCAAATGCTTTAACCATAACACACAAATTTTGATGTCACACTTTTGTTTTCATTCAGCTTAAAATATTCTCTAATTCCCTTGTGCCTCATCTTTCTCTTTAAAGCCCTTTTTAAACAGAGCAGCTTCAGGCTCACAGCAGAGTCGAAAGAACAATAAAGAGAGAATCTACTCACCCATGCTCCTCCCCACATGCTTCCCCCAATCGGAAGCCCCCACCAGGGAAATTAATGGAAGGAATGAACCAATCCGGGGTACAACATATGAATATATGGAAATGCCATAACAACCCCTCTGTATAACTATCATATATTAATAAAAACTTTAAAAAATAAAAGCCCCCTCCCCACAGTGGACCTGCGCTGACATGTCACTGACCCAGTGCAGTTTTCATGTGGGGAGCTGTGCATTCTGTGGGTATGAGCAGATATCCAGTGGCATGTGTCCACTACAGAATCACAGAGCACTTCCACTGCCCTAAGAATTCCTCTGTGCTCCGCCCACACATCCCTCACTTGACCCCAACCCCTGGCACCACTCATCTTTCTACCATCTCCAGTTTGCCTTGTCCAGATGTCTTATAGTTGGAACCGTGCAGCATGCAGTCCCAACACACTTAAGGTTCCCTTGTCATCATGGCTTGACAGCTATTTCTGTTTAGCACTGAATAATATTCCATTGGGGGTACCAGTGTATCCATTCATCAACTGAAGGACATCTTGGTTGCTTCCAAGTTTGGGCCATTATGAATAAAGTTACCATCAACATCTATGTGCAGGTTTTTCTGTGAACAGTTTTCAGCTTCTTTTGAGTAAACACCAAGGAGTGTGACACCTGGATTGTATGGTTATAGTTTTTGACGAAGTGCCCTCCGAGTGGCTGCACCATTTTTCATCCCTGCCAGCAATGAGGCACACTCCTTGTCCTCAGGCAGCATTTGGTGTTGTCAGAGTTCTGGATTTGGCCATTCCAACAGGTGTATTAGGGATATCTCATTTTAAATGGCATTTCCCTGATGACATATATCACAGAGCTGCCTGTCTGTCATTTGTGCATCTTCTTTGATGAGGTCTGTGCTAAGGTCTTTGACCCATTTTTTAATCAGGTTGTTTTTTAAGTGTTGAATTTTAAGGGTTGTTTTGTTTTAGATAACAGTCCTTTATCAGATGTATCTTTTGGAAATATTTTCTCCCAGCTCATGGCTTGTCTTCTCATTCTTTTGTCATTGTCTTTCATAAACAGAAATTTCCTTTTGTTTCTTTATTTTGGAGGTACTAGGGATTGAACTCAGGGCCTCCAAGCACTCTACTATTTGAGCATACTTTTTAAGCCTTATTTTTCAGGTAGGGGCTCACATTTTTGCCTGGGGTGAGTCTTGGACCATGGTCCTCCTGCCTAGCTGGTAAACAGATGTGCTCCACCATGCCCTGGCTGGCCTCAAACCACAATCATCCCAATTTCTACCTCCCAAGTAGCTGGGACAACGATGTGTGCCTGTGCACAACAATGTGTGCCACCATGTCCAGCCCCTACTAAGGTAATTTTTGTTAAGGGTTTATGGTTGTGTTTAGATTTATCTTTTGCAGTTATTCCAGCACCAGACTGCCCTTTCTCCCTTGTGTTGCCTTTGCTCCTTCGTCAAAGATCAGTGAGTCCATCTATGTAGGTGTATTTCTGGGCTATTTGTCTGATTTATTTGTCTATTCTCTCACCAATACTGCACTGCTCTGATTACTGTAGCTTTGTAATAACTTTTATTTATTTGTTTATTTATTTATTTTGAGGTGGAATTTTACTGTGTAGACCAGGCTGGCCTCAATCTCACTATCCTCCTGACTCAGTCTCCTAAGTAGCTAGGATTACAAGCATGCGTCACCACTTCCAATTTGAACTTTCACTTTTAACCTCTTTATACTTAAAATTTCTTACAGACAACATATAAATGGTACTATTCCACGCAGTAAGACAAGGAGCCAGGGCTGCCTAAAACCATGCTGTCCTCCCTGAGTCTCAAGAGTGGACCTCAGACACCCTCTGGACATCACTGCCCCAAAGAATCCTGGAAATCACAGAAACTGATGGACAAACTCTTTCCACTAAACAGTTAATTTTAAAGTTATCCATGCCACTCCTGTCCTCCAGAGTGAGGAAAGAAGTCTCCAAGTCAGCACCAGAAACCACAAGAGAAAATGGCAGAACAGGCCAGGCATAGTGACTCATGCCAACAATCCCAGATTGGGAGGACTGCAGTTTGAAGCCAGCCAAGTTAAAAAAAAAAAAAAATAGCAAGACCCCCATCTCGACCAATAAAGCTGGGCACGGGAGCACATATCTGTCATCCTAGCTATGCAGGAGGCATAAATAAGAGGATCATAGTTTAGATCAGTCCCTGAGCAAAAACGTTGAGACTCTATCTGAAAAATAACTAAAGCAAAAACAGCTGGGGGTATGACTTAACTAGTAGAACGCCTGTCTAGACAGCTTGAAGCCTTGAGGATTTTTTTTAATACCATAAAAAAAAAAAAAAAAGGCAGGCAGGAAGATTACTGTCATTGTGGAAACAAGGTCAAGCACTGCTGCCCAGTGTCCTGGTAAATTCACCCATCTCTCCAGAACTCTGTCCTTGGCCTTGGCCTTGGCTTACTGGCACCTTCGAGGGCTGCTTCTATGGGATACTGCCTATCCCTGTAATGGCCTTGTGGAGAGGTGCTGTGAAGAAGAGCCAGGGGAAAATGAAGACCAATAACCCCCTTTCCTATAAGACCTCTCAGCGAGCTGTGCACCTCCTAAGCCACAGGGGTTCCTCTCCAGCTGCAGACTCAAGAGCCCCACACTGCACCTGCCACCAGTGCTTGGCAACAAGTTAACCAGAGGCCCACACAAATTCCACATGCTGACCCCCTGACCCACCACCTGAACTCCTGCTTGTATTTCCCCTGTCTCTATTTTATAACTGTAAACAAATTCAACCATAAATAATTGATATTGCAGGTGAAGAAATGAAAATAAACCCAGCTAATTACATTTGACCATATACTCATATTTGCTGAAAAATTAGAGAATGACAAAACAACAGCATACAGCACTAACTTGAAACAAAAATAAAGTCCAAAAAAGATTTAAGTCTACTTAGCAATAACAGGTGTTTCAGTGAGGAAAAAATATTTTCTTAGAGGTAAGTTTCCATTGAGGGGAGAGGGTCTGAAATTTACAAATCTAACATGGTTCCACAGAGATCTTCCACATGTTCAAAATCTGCTCCTCACAGTCTAAAATAAAAGAATTCAAAATCTTTAATAATTAGGACACAGCCCCTGGTTTTATTTTAATTAATTAATTAATTTAGTAGCACTGTGGTTTGAACTCAGGGCCTCATGCTTGCTAGGCAGGCACTCTACAATTTGAACCACTCCACCAACCCTTTTTTGTGTTGGGTATTTTTGAGATAGGGTCTCTCGAACTATTTGTCTGAGCTGGCCTCAAACCTTGATCCTCCTGATCTCATCCTCTCAAGCAGCCAGATTACAGGTATGAGCTACCAGCGCCCAGCCACAGCCCATGGTTTTAGTCACTAAGGCAAGCACTCCCTACAGTGCCTGGAGATGTTCTCACTCCCTGCCTGAACTGAGGCCAGGATCCCCGCGCATTCCATGGGAAGTGAATCTCAGAAAGCCTGACATGACTTTCTGAGAGCATGACTGCTCCTCAAGACAATACAGAACAAGCATGACATGCTTTTGCCGAATGGGATCAAAAGTCTATTTATTAAGGCAGCTGGTCATACAAGTGACTTAGTAACATCTTCTTTAGTATAAAGTGAGGTTACATTTCCTTTGTGGAAAACTTGTATTTTGTACAGTGGTCCAGTCATGGATGGGAGTTCTGGGGACAGCAGCTGCTGCCAGGCCAGGCCTGGTAATTCACTGTCTGTCCTGATGTTGGCAGAAGGATGAGAGGTCAGCAAAGGGAACAGCATAGGCTATGGCATGAGGCAGGAGAGCCCCAGAGAGTGTCAGCACACAGAGGGCCAAGAGAGGCCCTGGACCCTGCACCACAGCAGGAAAGGCCTACAGGTCCTGGGCAGGGGAGGAGAGAATCAGAGGACATTGGACACAGATCTCTGGTTATCTGAGGGAGGACTGTAGGCCAGGGAGAGACTGGGGTTGCCACCAATCCAGGGGGCAGCAGGGATAGAGAGGAGCAGAATATATACACACATAGACATATGTATATGTATACATATATATAACTTTTAGTAACATTTTCAGTATAAAATGGGTTTGCATTTCCTTTTTGGAAAACTTCTGTATTTTGTACAGTGATCTGGTCATGGTTGGAAGTTCCCAAAGACAGCAGCTGTTGCTAGGGGCACAGTTAACAAGGGCCACACTCTACACATGGGCCATTCCCCATACATGCCTACATCATGAGGTTAACGTGACTCTCTGAGCCCAGTTAACAGAAGATGCAGGAGCAGCTAGCCTGCGGGAAGCCCAGTCCAGGGCCTGCTCCACAACAGTACCAGGCAGAAAGTTAAGTGGATCCAACAGCTCCCCTCCCAAGGATTTAGTTATTGGTCAAGAAAACCGTCCACCCTCACTCCCTTGTGGAGGCCTTGAGCCCAGGAACTGTGCAACACACTGTGCATATCCAGGTAACCACACTATTCTCAGCGCTAAACCTATGCTGACCATCTAGTATCTAAAGACCCTTGTTCCTGCCTCCAGGCTGCTCCCGAGAATCATACCTGCAAAAGTAGAGAAAAGTAGAGGGGCTGGAATCTGAGGCAGGGTTTACAGGGGGTCCCCACCATCCAACCAAGACACCTCAGTCTCTCCTGGACCTTGTGTGGCAAAGACATCTGCCAGCTGCCAGTCACCATTACAGGCAGGTATGTTTTCAAGGGTGGCCAGCAAGGCGTCTCTCAGGGTAAAGTTTGGAAAAGCGACCCAGGGTCCAGATGGGGAAGATGTTCCTGTAGCTTGTGTAACTGATGGCACAGGACTTGTTGAAGACCCCAGAGATGTTCTCCTGGAAGGACACAGAAATGAGCATAAAGGCCCCAGCAGGCAGCTGAAGGGCTTGACCCTGGACGATGGCCCTGGCTGTAGGGTTGCCTCCAGGGTGAGTATGCTTGGGGAGAGCTGATGAAGCAGAACAAGGGCAGTGTGGGCAGGCAGCCCTTCTGCTCAGTCTGTGTCTCAGCTCAGACTCTCATCTGCTGCAAACTTCCCCTGAGTCTCCAGCTCTCATAACCATGCCAGTTTTTGCCAGACTCCTCCAAGAAACCATAGCCATAGGGACAGGCGGAGACTGCTACCTTCACTTCCCATCAGTGAGGGACCTCTTGCAGCATCAAGCATGATGACAAAGCGTCTGTCTTACATGGGCTTCTCCTTTCCCCAGTCAGAAGTTCATGCCCAACAGCAATGTACACTTAAGACTCTAGGACCTGGCAACCCATCCCAGACCTATCACCTGCACAAGCCCAATTGACAGAATGTACACATCCAGATCTCCAAAACACCCCAAGAGGAACACAGTCGGGGGGTGGGGGGAAGAACAATGAAAACCAGTATGCAACCCAGAGGTCAGCACTGAGCCTCCACCTTTACGCACCTGAGGCCAGTCGCCATTGGGGAGCTGCTTCTCAAGCAGACACCTGACTCCTCTCTCCTGAGCTGCAATGTCAGGATGCCTGGGGAAGAGGAGACAAGCTTGAACGTGCTTGACATGCTCATCGGTGTAAACATCTACTCTCACCTTCACACAGCTGAGTGCAAGGACAAGAACTGAATACTACGGTGACAATGGCTGAACCTGAACAGCCAGAAAACTGCAGGCTCTTGCTCAACATTTTCTTCCCAGGAACCCTGAGAACTGGAACATGCAGAGCATGGAGGTGAGTGGGTGTGAGACGCACAACTCCTGCAGACTGGCCTGTTCCTAAAGATGTGGTTAACCACTGAGACCTGGCATAAGGTATTGATCAGTTGCCCAGGAGAGGAAGACTTGTGCCCACCTGGTCCACTGGGGACCTCAGAAGCCACATGTACTGACACACTTGCTGGCAAGGGTGAGAAACCAGAAGGACTGAGTGCTTGACATAGTCCGCTTTAGTTGTAGAGGGCTGGCCAGGCGCAGGTACCTGACTGTCCTCCCTTGGAGTCTCTCAGACTTGCTGCACCTGCTTACGTTGACTGGGGGACTTAATGGCCAGCACAGGCTGGGGTAGTACATATACCTTGGTATGTGTGCAGGTGCATGTGTGTGCATACACCTTTAAGTGTATATGCTTCTCTGTGTATGTGTATACAGCTGCCAGTATGCATATACTTATGTGTATATATACTTGGCAGTGCATATGCCTGGATGTGCATTTGTCTTTCATACATCTGGCAATGCATACACCTGGGGGTGCATGAACATGTGTGCATGTATCTCTGTGTGTGTGCACCAGTACACACATGTGGGTCAGCACCACCTATGAACACAAGAGGGTCAAGGACAGCTACAGGGCCCTGTGCTTTGACCACGGAGGCAGTGCCATCACTGCCACACTGGACAGCAGCCTCCCCACCACAGCCCCATCTCACTTGCTTCCCTCAGGCCCCTGCTTCTCTTACTCTGCTGACCAGTGCTGGCCGCCTACACTGGTGCTGGTGGGTGGTCCGCTTCTAAGAGGCAAACCTCTCTAGAGTCATGTACTCAGCTGGACGATTTGCCACCTAGCCTGGGAACAGGGCACATAGCTCCTGGAGCTGCCTCTATTCCCAGAGTGGCAGCTGAACAACAGCACAACACCTCTTCCTACTCTCGCACTCAGTCCAGACTACCTGCTAGCTATGAGTGTCCCTGGTCTACCCCACCCAAGGCACAGGATGGGTCCCATTGCTCCTACCTGACAGCCATCAGCCCCATCAGGGCCCAGCACGTGTTGTGGACCTGGGACTGGTCACTCTGCAAGTAATGTTGCTGCTTACAGGACTCAAAGTCCTCTCCCCAGCCTCCATCTGCCATCTGCCGGGACAGCAGGAAATTGCAGGCCCGGGACACCTCTGCACAGGCAACCCTGTAGAGATCAGGAGACTTAAGACACCATTCCAGGGAGAACATCCCACCCTGGCAGTGGGGAGGGGCTTGCAGATGTGAAGTGGGAACAGATACACATGCCATCCAGAGCTGCTGGGCATAGAAAGAAATCCTCTGCAGCTGTAGATAGCCTTGCTGTACAGCAGGCTAAGCATCTGGGGCGCCTGAAGGCAGACCCTCTTGTTAGCAAGTCAGAGACACCAGAAGGGCTGAGTCCTTGACAAAATCAACACTGGCTGTTGGGGGCTGTGTGGAGCAGGTCCCATCCCCACCCCCAACACCCAATGGAGCCAGAAGCACTGGGTGAGGCAGCTAGAGACTGGGCTTTGACCCAAGGCCTCTCTTCCCAGTGAGTGTCTTATACCCTAACCCTTTTCTACTCAGGATTGGGATAAGGCATGTGTGAGGAGGGTCTGGGGCCAGAGCTCTGGAGAACTGTGAGGCAACCTCTACCAAAGGCTCATGAGCCAGTGAAAGTCTGTTTTAACCTGAGACTCACATTTTCTGAGACACTGATCTTATTCCACTATTTAAAAATTTGTTTTAAAAACTCAAACATCAAAGGAAAAAAAACCATGACAGCACATCAAGGTGACAAACTCTCTCAACTGATAGCAGCCAGTAATTGTACTCACCCATCCCGGTAGGTGTGCCCCATGCAGGCAAAAGCTTCCAGACCAAACCAGGTGCCATAGCTGAAGCAAACTCCCCAGGAGCTAAAGGGAGACAGACAAGAGCCTCAGCTTTGGTCCTCACTTCCAGCTTGAGCACAGTCACTCTGCCCAGGTGCTGGGACACCCTTGAGCAAAGAGGGCAAGAGCTGTGGCTTTGTAAAAAGAGGCATTCACATAGCCTTCAACCAGCTGCCACCTGCAGTGTGGCACTGTCCACCTGGCATGGCTGCTGCTCCCACTAGCCAGACACAGAGAAATCAACACACATGGCAAGGAGGAGCACAATCATACTGAGGCCACTGGATACTTCCCACCTGCAGCTCAACTAATCCTCATAACACAAACACTGAGCATAAGGAAAACCCAGGCATTGGCTAAAGAACAAGGTCTATCAAGAAGTCCTAGCAAGTGCTGGTGCAGCAAATATCCAGCATCCCTAGAAAGTTGCACGAAGGGTAGAGCCCAGACCCCGTCCCCATGTCCTAACCCCCTCCCCAATTCCTCCCCACTCCCCCGGACAGATGGGTATGGATGCTCACTCACTCACCCCTCCCAGGAGCCATCAGCCCTCTGCTTCTGCCGACAGAACTTCAGCCCCTGCTTAAGGGTCTCTCTGCAACACAGGTGTGGTTGGCCCAATGAATATGCCAACAAGACTGCAATCCCTACCCCAATCCCACCCTTAGTATGGTCCCCCTTAGAAAACAGGTCAAAAAAATTTTTAAACAGGAGAAGAAAAGAAGCTGCTATAGGACATGGAAAGAGGAAGCAGATTGTCAAAGTTCTAGAAAGAAACACAAGCAGAAAACAGACACTGGAGTAAGATGTAGCTCCAAACAGGATCAGCGCCACTGACGACAATGTCAGTAACACAGATCTGAGCAAATAAAATAAACTACATTAAAAAAAAATCAGTAACAAAATGATTAATTTGGGAGAATAAGACCCACCCTAAACCTGGCTTGCACTTCTGAAGAGCAACTGATTTTAAACAAGGCTGACCCTGCCTCTAGTACCCATGCTTGAGCTATCCTGTCAGTCCTGTGACTTGTTTCTATATGACGGGTTATAGCAGAGCCTGTGGAATGTCACTGTGACCTGTCTTGTAAACTTGACAGATGCCTCCCTCTCTGCAGACTCTCTGTTGCTTGCTTTTACAAAGCCACCAGATAGAAAGGTCCAGTCCTGAGTGGCCACTTGATTGAAGGAAAGGACCCTGCTCAGCTGTGCTTGGCCTGATCTAGGAAACTGTAAATAATGCTTGCTGTGCTCCACTACAGCAAAGTGTATAGTAAAACTGTTAGTGACAGGTAACTCAAAGAGTGAAAGTTCAAATATTAGCAACAAAGTAATGTGACTCACGTAGTGGAAAATAAAAATAAGAAAACGTTATGCAAAACATTCAAAAACTTAAAGACAGAATGAACAAGTTAGCAGGAATTTTAATCAAAACTGCCTCAAAATAGTGCCAAAATAGTCCTAAAAGTGCTAAAAATATGAGTCAAAAAATGTAAACTTTTTCCAGAAAGAAAACTTCTAGGCCTATGAATTTTACAATAAAATTCTACTCAATTATCAAGAGCATTCATTAACAATTCCTAGAATGGAAAGAGCAGAGAATAGTCCTAGCTCATTTCAAGAAACAGAAGATGTGATGGGGGAAGTAGGAGTCAGGCTGTCTCATCAGTGAACAAGATGTAAGACTATAAATTTTAACACTAGGAGATTGAATACAGCAGAAACGGTCCAATCCTAAGGTCTGTCTCAGAAACATAAAGGTGTGTGAATATTAGAAAATCAATCTTCTACATTACAAACAAATAAAGAAGACAGATAACGACTAGAGGAAGAAAATTATCTGCTAAAATTGAATACCATTTACCACCAAGGGAAGAAAAACATTAGCAGATTAGGAAACAAGTTCATCAAACTGTAAGGAAGCCACAATGAACCTCACCAAGTAGCATCCACAGTGAAAAGATCAGGAAATGACAACAACGCTACCACGACCACTTCTAAGCAGAGTGCTGGAGGGCTCAGCCAAGGCAGTAAGACAAGAAAGACAAAATACATACCCAAGGACAGAAAATAAGAAAATGTCACATGACTGCCTATAAAGAAAACTCAAAAAATTCACAAAATGTTAGAATAAGGAGTTGCCCAGATGGGCTCACAGGTGAATTCCCCCAAATATTTAAAGAAGAACTCATACCTCGTTTCTATAATCTCTTCCAGAGAACAGAAGCAGAAAACACTTCCTGTCTCATTCTGTGAGGCCAGCATTACTGCCTATCAAAACCAGATAGAGACAGTATAAGAACGAAAAACTAAAGACCAGTATCTCTCAGGAGTGTACATACAAAAATCCTCAACAAGATACTATCAAATCAAACACAGTAACATATAGAAAGAATTATATACCACAACCAAGTGGGTTTATCTCAGGTGTGGCAAGGCTAGTTCATCTGAAAATCAATTCATGCAATCCATTGTATCAAAAGCCTAAAAAAGGAAAATCTTATGATGAGGTGGGAATGTAGCCAGTGGTAGAGCACATGCAGGAAAAAAAAAAAAAAAAAAGAAGAAGATGCAGACCAATAGATGCAGAAAGAACATTTGACAAAATCCAACACTCATTCATGATGAAAACTCTCAGCCAGTTAGGAAGAGAGGAATTTCCTCTGCTGAAACTACAGCTAACATTGTAATAGTAAGGAACTTTTCTGCTAAGATCAGGAATAGGTAAGGACACCCCCTCTCTCACCACTCCTATTCAACACTGCACTGGAAGTCTTACCCAAGGAAATAGACAGAAAAAAGAAGAAAAAAAAAAAAGATATATAGATAGGGAAGGAAGAAGTAAAATCTATATTTGTTCACACATGATATAAAATCCCAAAATCCCAAAGAAGGAGAACGATGAAGGGGTGAATTCAATTATGATATATTGTAAAAACATGTGTAAATGTCAAAGTACTCCCAGTACAATATCATAATTTTTAAAATGCAAAAAAAAAAGAAAATCCCAGAGAATCAATAGCAATAAACAACCTTGAAACTAGTAAGTGATTATAGGCTGCAGGATACAAGGTTAATGTATAAGAGTAGCTTGGTTTCTGGCCAGCAATGAACATTAAAAACACAATGGTATTTACATAGCAACTAAAAAATTAAATACATTTTCAACTAACAAAATATATGCAAATCCACATGACACAAACTATAAAATTCTAATGAAAGAAATCAAAGATATTCCCTGAGCTACAGAATTCCAGCAAGTTCCTTTGTGGGTATTAATACTGATTGCAAAATTTATGTGGAGAGGCAAAAACCCAGAATAGCCAACACACTATTAGTCTATTGAAAGGGAATAAAGTAAAAGTACTGAATCTCACTTCAAGGCTTACCATAATACAGTAATCAAGATAGTGTGGTATTGGAAAGAGAATAAACAAATCGATCAACAAACAGAACAGAATCCAAAAGTACACTCAAATAAATACAGTCAACTGATCTTTGACAAAGAAGCAAAGGCAGTTCAATAGAGAGAGGAGGATCTTTTCAACACCGCAGGACAACTGGACATCCTCATGCATAACCATGTATCTACACACAGACTTTACACCCTTCACAAGAATTAAGCCAAAATGAATCATAGGCCTAAATATAAAATGTAAAACTTTAAAGCTCCTAAAACATAACATGGGGCAACTCTAGGTACCTAGGGTTTGGCAACAACATTTTTTTTTTTGGGTGGGGGTAGTACTGGGATTTGAACTCAGGGCCTGGTGCTTGCTAGGCAGGCACTCTACCTCTTTTTGCTTTAGTTATTTTCAGAGAGGTCTTATGTTTTTACTAAGGACAGCTGCAGACCTGATTCTCCTACCCAAGGCTTCCCTTATAGCTGGGATCACAGCTGTCTGACTGCCACCACACCTAGTTTATTGATTCACATAAGGCTGTTGCTGTTTGCCCAACATGGCCTTGACACATGATCTTCCTGGTCTCCCCAGTAGCTTGGATAAAAGGTGCAAGCCACTGCACCCGGGCGTAACTTTTTAAATACAACACCAAAAACATGATCAATGAGGGAAAACATTGACAAACTGGACATTATTAAAATGAAAAACTTTGGCTCTACAAGACATTGTAACATGACTCTGAAATAATAAGACAAGCTACACAGTGGGGAGAAAACATTTGCAAAAGACACATCTGATAAAGGGCTAGTATCCAAAATATACAAAAAAAGTTCTAAAACTCAAGCATCAGGAAAAAAAAATCCAATTAAAAACAGGCCAATTCCAAACAGGTCACTGGTTGGTTACGCCTATAATTCCAACTCCTTGGGAGGCTGAGATGAGGAGGATTACAGTTCAAGGCCAGTTGGGCAAACCATTTGTGAGACCCCATCTCCAAAATAACAACATCAAAATGTACTGAAGGTATGGCTCAAACAGTAGAGCTCCTGCTTTGCAAGTGGGAAGCCCTGATCAAACCCCAGTCTCACCAAAGAATAATAATAATAGTAATAATAGTAATAATAATAATAGTAATAATGAATACACCAATTCATCAGAATGGATGTACAGCTTTTCCCTTTTGTGCCCAGCGCTGAAGCAGCAACAGTGGAGACAGAGCTCAATTCCTTTTTGAGTTCAGCATTTCAAGGCCCCATCCCACGTTCACAGGAAGATTTCCCCCTTCTAAAGAGCTCAGGCAGAAGCACAATATTCAGTCTTCACCTATTTAAAAGGATGACAAGGAATTCCAAGATGGCGGCTAGAGCCGGAGCAGAGAATCTCCACTTCACGTTAAACGGAGAACCGAGGAGGCCCCCGGGCCGCCAGTGGCCGGCGCCCATACGGCTTGGGAAGACGCGGACCAGGTGAGCTTCGCGGTACCGCGGTTCCCCCACAGACAAGCCTGGGCCAGAGCAGCATAGCCCCCTGGACAGACTGACCTCCACCCGGGAAAAAAAGAGAAACTGAGTACTAAGCAATAAGAACAGTTAAGACACGCTGGAAAGAGGGTGGGGTGCCCTGAGCGCTGAAGATTGGGGGAAGGGAACCTTCCCGGGACTGTAAATAAACGAGCCAGGCGGGCCGGAGAGGCTCTGGCGGGAGCGGGGCGCACCCAGCAACCGGGGAGCGGGGACGCTTGTGAGAGGAGGGAAGACCCACTTCCCACGTGAACTGTAAATAAACACGCAGGCCTGACAACGCGGGGCAGTGTCGCCTTTCCCAGTGCTTGGAAAGGGAAAAGCCTGTAGCAGAGGCCCCCCTCCCCCGCACAGGAGAACTCTGAGCAAACAAAGCCTGTGGGACCAGGTGAGTGCTAGCTCACCCCAGAGATCTGCATAAATAACGCCCCAGCTACAGGCTGAGAGCAGCAGGCAGGCGAGCCACAGTTGCAGATACCACTCTCAGAACTGCCTCCAGACGCTTTTTTTTCTTTTTCTCCCTACCTTTGATGAGAGAACAACCGAATTACACCTGCAAGCCGAAAAACTTACTGAAACTGTATTGCATTTGAACTGGGGACACTTGGTGGGGCTTTTTTTTTTTCTTCTGTGTGTGTGTGAGTGTAGTTTTGTTCTACTTTATGCATCCC